CTCCAGATACCGTGTTTGAGCTTAGTTGAAGCTATGCAACCTTGAAGAAAGGTTTTAGTTATAAAAAGAGAATTTCTTGGTTAGGACAAGGCGCAAAGGAAAGTGTTGCAGTAGTGCAATATTTAGGAAAGTTTCTCAGATTAGCACCTCATGGAAATTCCAAATCTGGTGAAGAATATGTACAAACACCTGTAAGAGATGACCGAGATGTCCAATGCAAGATCTAGGCCATTTAATTTAATCAGTGTTTAAAAGTCACCAATATGTGCTTCGATTAAAATTTCAGGTGTCATTTTGTCATTCCACCTGTTATTTTGATATGCCGGTTACCCTTTTCCGTAAATTAAACGTGTCATGTCATGCATGTTGTTGGAAGTTACACGTGTGGGGTCATGATGTGAAAAAAAAGTTCCTACATAATTAAAGTTCCAAACGGAAGAAATATTCTATAATATTATTTCCATTGGAATAAATGATACAGAATTTGTTCCTTATGGAATAAATGGTATAGAATATTTGTTCCAAAAGGAACTGATATTATGGTATTGTTTATAACAAAGTTTCCAGTGGAACTTCTTTTAGGCGGAACAAATATATTTTGACAATGACATCATCGCTTTATGACATCCTCAATTTTGGAACACTAAGAAGTTTATGACAAAGTAATATCTTAACCTTGCTTTTTAATCTACAATTTCTTTCAAAATAAATTAAAATGTATATGTCTCTTTAATGTAAGTGGTTGATTTCAAGTGACATATATTAAGCTCACAATAAAAGCAGCAAGGAGACCTTCCAAATTGATGGACAAAATGGAGATGTGTTAGGTTCAATTGACAAACCTTCTTCTCTTCTTGCTATATGTAACCAATAGGGGCACAGCTTGGGACTCTCGTCTTGGCTCCCTAAAGGTTACGGGGTCATGATTTTATTTGTAAAAATCATTAGAAAAACAATTAAATCTTGAAGGTCACCAATCTCAGGAACTAGTTGATGCAGTTCACGAAAATCCAACACATTCAAGTTATATAATTTAATTCCAAGCCAAAGTTCTAATATAAACTATACAAAGGACAATGTCAGCATAACACTATGACTCCTACTGTATCTACCGAATGTTCTTACTCAAAGTATTCTTACTTCTGATCGTACTCATTTTACAAAGTTTACCATAAGTATTTATACTAAATATCGAAAATAGACAATACTCAATTAACATGACAATACTCAAATTAAAATGACATTTCATAACTTTAAGCTATAAGTGACAGCATTCACATTAATTAATATAAAAGATAATTATAATTTATAATACTCATATAATCTTATTCTTTCATTTTCCTATACAGTAATTTTCACACCTTTAGTATGAATTAATGTCTTTCATATTAATTTCTGTTACTCAATAAATAAATCTGTCACAAACATTTGAAAATCATATGTCACTAATTAAGATTAACACATTATTTGTCTATACATGTAAATATTTGAATTTGTAAATAATATCTTTTCCAAAAGTCCAATTTCTAAATAAATGATAAAATCAGAATTAAGTCCAAATAAGCCTGGTGACAAATGGCTCCTCCTCAACAAAAAACACGTCCTCGTGTTTCCGAAGTTAATAAAATCGTCCTCTATTGTTCCTGCTGTAGTAACTAGAATTAAACGGTTGTCCTTGATTATAAACATTCTGTGGTTGATTCCATGTCTGTTGTTGTTGTTGTTGTTGCAATTGTTGCTGATATTGTTTTATCTGCATCTCAAGCTGTAAAATCTTTATATCATATTTTTCTCTTTCTTCTCTTCTTCCCATTGTTGATTCTTTAAATATATCTACCGTCTTTTGTAACTAATCATAATCTAGTTGAAGATCTAAGTATATCGGATGTTTTTTCACTATTTCATTATACTCTGCATCTATTTTACTTTTCTCTTTATGTTGTTGTTTCATTAAATTAGTATTCACTGTTATTATCCTTAAATTTTCTGCCCTTAATAATTCATTTTGCCAATATAGATCATTAATATTCAGGTTTTCTGGTGTTGATTTAAATTTTTCCAATTCTTGGCGAAAGTCTTCATTTTGTTTCACATATAGTTGTGCTCTTTCCCACATTGTGTGCAGCTGCTCTTTTAGATTACTGATTTCTTCATCTTTTTGATTGTTCTGATGTCTAAAATGTTCACGGTCAATATTATTCTCCTTTAATTTTTCTTTAATTCTTTTTAGCTCTACTTTTGTTGAATTATTTGTTTCTAAAACACTTACGAAGGCTGTATTTCTGATATTTGAAAATGGTAATTCAAACATTGGTTGTTTTCTGTCCATATGTTGAATGAATCGGGATCGGTCCCTTTCTGTTCTCCTCTTACCTTTCACTTTTTTATTCCTTATAGTTGTTTGTTGTTCTTTTGCTTTCACTAATGGTACACGAGCAAAACACATTCTAGCATAATGTCCCTTTTTTCCACATTTAAAACAAGTTTTGAAATTTGCAAAACAAATTCTGTAATGCAATACTCCACATTTACCACATACTGGTCTTTGACTAGGAAAGTTCCATAATCTCCATTGCGGTCGTAAATTTATATCCATGTTGTTAGTTGTTGATCTGGGGAACACTCACTTGCTTCTGTTAAAGGTATTTAGGATCGTTGTTGAACTAGGAAGTCAACATGCCCGGGTCCTCCACCATATGTAACCAATAGGGGCACAGCTTGGGACTCTCGTCTTGGCTCCCTAAAGGTTACGGGGTCATGATTTTATTTGTAAAAATCATTAGAAAAACAATTAAATCTTGAAGGTCACCAATCTCAGGAACTAGTTGATGCAGTTCACGAAAATCCAACACATTCAAGTTATATAATTTAATTCCAAGCCAAAGTTCTAATATAAACTATACAAAGGACAATGTCAGCATAACACTATGACTCCTACTGTATCTACCGAATGTTCTTACTCAAAGTATTCTTACTTCTGATCGTACTCATTTTACAAAGTTTACCATAAGTATTTATACTAAATATCGAAAATAGACAATACTCAATTAACATGACAATACTCAAATTAAAATGACATTTCATAACTTTAAGCTATAAGTGACAGCATTCACATTAATTAATATAAAAGATAATTATAATTTATAATACTCATATAATCTTATTCTTTCATTTTCCTATACAGTAATTTTCACACCTTTAGTATGAATTAATGTCTTTCATATTAATTTCTGTTACTCAATAAATAAATCTGTCACAAACATTTGAAAATCATATGTCACTAATTAAGATTAACACATTATTTGTCTATACATGTAAATATTTGAATTTGTAAATAATATCTTTTCCAAAAGTCCAATTTCTAAATAAATGATAAAATCAGAATTAAGTCCAAATAAGCCTGGTGACATATATTCTAAAACAAAATAAAACATTATTGTCCTGAATGAATGTAAATTCTATCATTAAGTGGCTAGATTTAAAAGTGACGGTAACTGGTAACTATATCTATACTTTTTAACCCCTTTTTAGCTCACCGGGGCCCAAAGGGCCCCATGTGACTTATGCCATCACTTGGCGTCTGTCGTCGTCCATCGTCTGTCGTCGTCATCTGTCGTCGTAAACTATTTCAAAAATCTTCTCCTCTGAAACTACTGGGCCAAATACCTTCAAACTTTAACTAAATGTTCCTTAGGGTTTCTAGTTTATAAAGTGTATCCGAAGTTTTGATCCATCGACAAACATGGCCGCCATGGCTAAAAATAGAACATAGGGGTCAAATGCAGTTTTTGGCTTATATCTCAAAAAATAAAGCTTTTAGAGCAAATCTGACATGGGGTAAAATTGTTCAATTGGTCAAGATCTATCAGCTCTGAAATTTTCAGACGAATCTAACAACCCATTGTTGGGTTGCTGCCACCGAATTGGTAGTTTTAACAAAATTTTGCAGTTTTTTGTTATTATTTTGAATATTATTATAGGTATATATAAACTGTAAGCAGCAATAATGTTCAGCAAAGTAAGATCTACAAAAAAGTTAATATGACCATAATTGTCAATTGACCCCTTAAGGAGTTATTGCCCTTTAAAGACAATTTTACACAATTTGTTCATCAAGTTTGCTAACATTTAAAAATCTTCTCCTCTGAAATACAGGTGAGCGATTCAGGCTCTTGAGAGCCTCTTGTTTCATTGTTTATAACAGGAATTAAAGTCTGAGTCTATGGTACTAAGCCTAACTTTTGGTAAAAAGTGAAAACAACATTACACGTTAAGTAATTTCATGCGGGACCAAAGCGCTTTTCTGGATTTACCTTTTTATGTTAAAAGAATATTTCCCCAAAGAGTTCCTGATAAAAATCATTTGAGAAAATCTGAATTTCTGCTCAACCAGTGTAACTCATTCATGAAAAACAACAAACAAAAAGTTTTAATAAGCAATATCATGAGCCATAAGATTACTTTTTGGATGACTTATACCCCTTTGAATTATAAATAATATTGACAATCAACATTGTTTGTTTAAATAATTATCATGATTATGTCTTGGAAAGATATTTTAATTTTTGAGGTATCTTTAAAAATGAAAATGGAAAAGTACCACTAAGAAAAAGTCATGATATAAAAAATCATAACAACATTGCATAAAAAGACATATTTACTCTTTCACTTTTATATTTTAACGTTAAATGTAATGTTTTTTTAAAAGCTTTTTTCAGTAACAAGTAGATAGAGCCTGGCATGGGGTTAAATTTTGTTACACATCAATTACTTTGTCAAACCTTCATACAATTTTATGAAACTTTGGCAGCAGCTTTTTTATGATTAAGAGATGATGTCTGAAGCAAAATTTGATAATATATTCTTTTTTATTTACAGTATTTTACTGATAGATGGACTTACTTTTTTTTTTCATAATAATTTTGTAAACATTCATAGACTGATGTGAAAGAACTAGCCTCTTAAGAAAAAGTATGATTCTTTTTTTGCCCCGGCCGTAGCAGAGGGGACATTAAGTTTTACCCTTGTCCATCTGTATGTACGTATGTCCGTACGTCCCAAAATTGGTGTCCGTTCTCTAACTTGAGTTTGCCTCAACCAAATGTTATGAAACTTATACACAATGCTTATTACCACAAAACACAGATCAAGCTTGAATTTTAGTGGTTTCACTTTAACCGTTCTAGAGTTATGCCCCTTTATAAATGGAAAAATTTCAAAATTTTTAGTTTCTGTTCTTTAACTTAAGTTTGCCTCAACCAAATGTTATAAAACTTATACACAATGCTTATTACCACAAAACACAGATCAAGTTTGTGCCCCTTTTTAAATTGAAAAATTGCAAAATTTTTAGTTTCCATTCCTTAACTTAAGTTTGCCCCAACCAAACATTATGAAACCTTTACACAATACTTATTACCACAAAACTCGGATCAAGTACAAATTTGGGTAGCGTCACTTTTATTTTTCTTGAGTTATGTCCCTTTATAATGTTGTATGCAAGAGGGGGCATCATCTGTGTCCATGGGGACACATTCTCCATTTATTTTATTTTTTATTTTACTGTGAAATGGAGTAACTTTTTACAGTCAACAGTACAATTTTACACTGACAGCAGCAATCACAGGGTAGACACAGGATTCCGAAGAACCCTTTACAAATTTTATCTTTTATTTATAATAATTATATAAGGAGCTAATGATAGCAAGCTAAGACTAGATAAAGGGCATACAGTTTCCCTCCTAAAACAAGATGGAACATAGATATAAGACATGGTATCTTGTATTTATAATAATAATAAAAGGGAGCTTGCAACAGGCTAAACCAGGATATAGGACCTGCTGTTTCTTGTCCAAAACATGATGGAGCAGATAGATGAGACATTATATCTTGTATTGATAATTCATAATAGGCAGCTTGACAACAGGTTAAGCACTGAGATAAATGTCTTAAATTCCTTAAACAAGATAGAACAATAAATAAACATTATATCTAGGATCTTCATATCAAACATTACAAGGATAATCCTTGATCACATGAAAACAAATTATTAACAATTGCATTTAGTCAATCTACCAATAATGGATTCAGATGGGCATCTTTCAGAGTCAAACCAATTATTAAAAAATCAAAACTCATTTTTTTTTATGTAAATATAATTTGATAATCAATTATCTCAACATGAAAACTTGATAATCAATTATCTCAACATGAAAACGACACAGTTATTGTTTTGAGTGTTGTGTTATTCTTCAAGTTCAGTAACTCTTTTGTGTATCTAAAAATTATTTTCTGTTAAGTTTCCATATTCATTATAGCACTAGTTCTTCACTGTGCTGGTAAGAGATGATGGATGTTTTATATTAATTGTGTTTGTTTTTGTTACTTAAGGTTGACCAGTATGGACATTCCTTCCAAGGACGTTCCTTCCAAAGACGTTCCTTCCAAAGACCATCAGCCTGCTTTACCTGTGACAGCCACCACTACTACAAACTCTATTGTAGTTAATTCTCTAGCTAATATTCACCAATTATCAAATGGATGTCTGAAGAATGGTTTTTTGGAGACAGAAGACATTGTGAAGTTGTTGACATCTTTTTTGTCCTCGGATGCTCACGACAAAATTCCAGGAGGAATAAAAAACAATGTTTATTTTGTAGTTAAGAATGATGACAATGTTGAAAGACAAAAAAAGGGAGACCTTACTGAATTTCATGATGATTGTGGAGTATACAATTCTAATAGAGGAAAAGACCCAAAAACTTACTATATAACTAACCCAGAAGGCAGGCTTCAGGTGGTATATAAAAGGGGTGATCAATTCTGCTCTGAAAAGAGAATCAAAGGAAAGTTAATGTATTTTCCAATGCAATCTCAACCTTCTATAGATACTGTAATTGAACTGAACAGAAACTATTCAACATTGAACAATGATTCATCATATTTGAGACGTGTGTCATGGCTAGGAGGACATGAAAATCATATTGCTGTAGTAGAATATTTTAAAGGTTATACACAATCTAATCAAATAGTTGCCAATAATACAGATGAGCATATTCCTTTGAATGTCAAAACGAAACTAGTACATGATGAATCGAGTGGACTCAGCAGTAGCAAACTAGTACAAAACCAGAAGCACATTGACAACAACAGTCAGGGTAATTATTTCAAAGGACAAACATTTTTTTTCAATTTTACATTTTTTTTTACAAATTTTGTTTTTTAATAAGAATCATGATATAAGGTTTTTTTTTTGTACTGGTACAGTATTTATCTACTTCTAATTTTAAATAGAAAATAAAGTACTTTTTTCAATTCCCTCGGAAACATACCGGTATGTTTATATATTTAGTCAAGAAATTTAGAACAAATTTCTTTTGACTAAATTTCTTTTGAAAACAAAAATTCCACCACAAGGCCGCAACAGATATAAGGTTGGTGCCTTTTAGATAATCATTTTTAGATCGCCTGGCTCATTACACCATAGCTAATTTGATAGCAAGACTAGATCTACAAAAAAAGTCAACATGGCTGAAATTGTCAACTCCTCATGCTCCTTATCTAAGTTAAATTGCTCTTTAATCATGTTAATAACGATTTTTACCATATTTTTGTGTGCTTGCTTATAATCTTGATAACTATAATAGTTAAAAAGAAACTTTAAATAGAAAAAAATGATCAGCAAGACATGATCTACAAATAAGTCAACATGGCCAAAATCTTCAGTTGACTCATTATTGGAGTTACATGTATTGCTGTTTAATGGTGACTTTTTGCCATTTTTTTGTGTTTTTGCCTATTATCTAGAAAACTATAACAGATAGCCAGAAACCTTAAAAGAAAAAATGATCAGCAAGGCAAGATCTACAATTTAGTCAACATTGCTGAAATCGTCAGTCAACCTCTTATTGAAGTTAGTACCCTTTAATGACAATTTTTACCAATTTTTTTGTGTCTTTGCCTGTAATCTTGTAAATTATAATAGAAACTTTTTATAGCAAAAATGACCAGCAAGACAAGATATACAAATAAGTCAAACGTGGCCAAAATCTTCAGTTCACCCCTTATTGGAGTTATTATATCCCATGAAACAAAGTTCCGTAGGGTATAATGTTTTTGACCCGTCTGTCTGTCTGCCCGTCAGTCCTGTTTTTGTCAAAGCAACTCCTCTGAAACCACACACCAGAATTTCATGAAACATTGTATATAATAAGGACATACTTTGTAGATGTGCATATCGACTGGAAATTATGATTCAATTTTTTTTCTAGGCGTTATGCCCCTTTGAACTAAGAATTTTGGCCTAATTATACTACTGCAATAGATTGTCATTGTAAGTCCTCTGAAACCACATAACAGAATTATACGAAACTTTGTAGATAATAAGGACATAATATGGAGGTGTGCATATCCAAAAGAAATTTTTATGAGTTAATTTTTGTAGGAGTAATAAGTCTTTTAACATATTTTGTTTTGAGATTTTGTTGGCCCAGTGACAATGTAGGGCATGGGGTATGTGAGCATGCTCACAAAGGTTCTTTTATTGGCTTTAATGATGATATTTACAATTTATTGGTACATATATTCCCTATTATTTTGAAAACTAGAATAGATTGTTAGAAACTTTGAAAAGCAAAAAATTATCAGCAAGACAAGATCTACAAATAAATCAACCTTGCTGAAATCCTCAATTGACTCCTTTTATGTGTCAGACCACCAATTCACCCACCTCAATTAAGAACATATTTAAAAGTAGCCCTTCCCTGACGAAAAATAGTGCTTTTGATGTCATTGTTTACTAAACTAACAAACAAATTTGCAGAAATGAAATTTTTGGTAAAAGAGAAATATATGTAGACCATTTTGAGCCAAAAGAAGGATTTTGTTATTTATAACTTGTTGTTAAACATTGTGACATGTGAGTTAATATAGGTTAATCTAAATAATGTCATCAAAGGATGAGAGGTGAAAGGTCAAATCTGAACATTAATTTAGGATAGACTCTTGACTCCTTAAAATTCAAGAGTCTATCCTAAATTGAGGTAAATTATGTGGCCTTCCAATAACCGTTTCGATTCCTAACATCACTGAAGAGACATTAATTGTCAAAATCCGGATATGGTGTACAAAAAATCTTTGCACCTTTGTTTGCGGTATACCATCTTCGCCGCAAGTTTATTGTTTTTTTTTTGGTATTAAATTTATAGTTAAGATCCATTTATTACACATTGTGATCCGTTTATTTGGCAATCGCCAATGGCAGTCAGCAGGATTTAAGAACAAGAGCCAAAATTTACTTGTCCATGAGTTTGAATTAAAAATTGAGGATTAGTATACTTATTTAACATTTCCAGAAAACAAGGGGTTATTTTTAGTAGTACTTTACTTCCGATAGTTAGTATATCGCTACAACATGTACAAGACTTTAAACATTTGTTGAAAATTGGCATTTAGAAAGGTGATACATGTAGAATTCAGGATATACCTGGTTTCTATGAAGTTAAACTTAAGGTAAAATATTTAGGAAGCTGTAAAAATTGCAAAATTTGGTTGAATAGATAGGGAATTTGAATTGGTGGTCTGACACCTGCCTTAAATGATGAATTCTACTTTTTTTTGTGTTATTACCTTTCATTTTGAAACTATAATAGATGGAGAGAAACTTTAAATGCAAAAAATGGTCCACATGCCGATGGCAAGATCGACAATTTGTAGCAATTTGCATTTATTGCCTATTATCATGAAAATTATAATAGATAGAAAGAAGTTGAATAGCAATAAAGAAGTAAGCGTAATAGTTGAATTTATCAGTCAGCTCATTTATAATTGGAGTTCTTGTCTTAAATGCAATTTATACTAATTTTTTGTGTTATGGTCTATTATGTTGAAACTATAATCAATAGAGAGAAACTTTAATTTGCAAAAATGATCCACAAGGCAAGATCTATAACTAAGAAAATATTGCTGAAATCAGTGGTAATCACTTTATAGGAGTAACTGCCCTTAAATGACAATTTTTACCATTTTTGAAAAAAAATTTGCCTCTTACCTTGAAAAAAGTATAACAGAAACATGTAGATAAAAACTTTAAAGGCAAAATTGATCAGTAAGACAATGTCTGCAAATAGGTTAGCATAAATAAAATTCTCAGTTGTCTTCTTGTACATGTACGTCATTTGTACATGTAGGAGTTATAGCCCTTGAATTACGATTTTTACCCTTTCTGTGTTTTGGGCAAACAAAACAGAAGGTAAAAGAGAAACTGTAAACAGAAAAAATGATCAACAATACAATATCAACAAAAAAGAGATTTCATCATGAATTATATTGTATAAAAATAAGAAGATGTCCATGATGTGGTATATGATGGCCAATGAAATGATTCTCCACCAGAGACGCAATGACCTACAATGTAGAGGTTAACAATTATAGGTCACTGTATGACCTTCAAATTATAGTCTACAATGTTCCATTGTTGAAGATCCACATAGACTAGGTGTGTGACACAAGCTCTTTAGAGCCTTTAATTTCACTTTTCACACTTCAATTTGAATTCCACTTTTAGTTATACTTGTTGTGACATGTGAGTCAATATACATGTAGGTTGAAAGAGCATTAGCTGTCAAGTTTTATTTCATATTCACTGATTTGACTCAAGTTCTAATATATTTGATTTATGAACTGTATATACAAAATTACAAAAAGTCCAAAAGAAACAAATGACAATGCATGGCTAAATATAATGTATCAGTAATCATGTGTAATTTAGACTAGATGCCATCTAATTACCATCAAGATGACCTCTGAAGAATGCAAATGGTCTAGCTAAATCTTATAATTGACTTAAGATTAACAATTTTTACATAAATAGAAATAGAAATTTATATACACAAACAAGAGCCTGCGATTTAGAAATTTATAGACACAAACAAGAGCCTGCAATCGCATAATGTTAATTTTTCTAGGTCTGTTTGATTTCTTGTCATAGATAAGAAATATGTACCGGTAAATACCGGTAATCGTTTTTACCTGTATGAAAATATATTTTAGGGGTCGGAGCAGTCAACAAAATTGTTCTTCCTGTTGGCTTTCTTGTTTCAATCTCAATGTTCTTTTGTTTTTTAATAACTAAACATGCTTTATAGAACATGCTTAGCCCATCTTCAGCTAAGGTTCAAATTGAAGGTTGCATGAATATAGTTTTGAAATGAGGTGTATTATAGACTTGAAAGCCAATTACAATAGGATTTTTTTAGTTTATTTGACAATTTTGAACCAAACTGACTGCTAATTATTATTATTAGTAAAAGTACTTTTTAAGAAAGAGTTTTGAATACTTTTGACTACTAATCTTTTGACCTTTTATTTAGATGGTTCAGCTGAAATAAGGACTTTGTCCTCTAATAGCCTCTTCTTGTCAACTGGATGTCTGAACAAAGGGTTTATGGAAGTAAAAGAGGTTGTTAAGTGGCTGACATCTGTTTTGTATGAAAAAGCCCACAACAGTATTCCAGATGGAATTAAAAATGACGTTTATTTTTTGGTAAAGAATGATGAAAATGTTGAAAGACGCAAAAATGGAGTCAGAAGTAGATTTCCTGATGACTGTAAAGGATATGATTACTCCACTGGATCAACGTCAAAAAATTTCTTTATTACTAACCCAGAAGGCAGGCTTAAGGTGGTATTTAAAAAAGGTGATAAGTTCTGCTATAAAAAGGTAGTCAAAGGGAAAAAAATATACTATCCACATGAGACCCAGCCATCTTCAGACAATGTAATAGAATTGTTTAGATATTATACCACGTTAAAGAAGGATTCATCATGCAAGAGACGGGTGTCATGGTTGGGAGGACATGAAAATCATATTGCCCTAGTGGAGTATTCCGGAAAATTTCCTGGATTAGTGCCACATGGAAATTCTAAAGATACAGATTCTATTCAAACACGTGCCAATGTTATGTCTGAGATGTCAGATATGTTTCAAGATACTCTCAGTCCCAGCATGAGGAAACAAGTATATGACAAGAAGCACAATGGCAACAAAAGTTGGGGTAATTATTTCTATTTTTATTGTTTTTAAGGTTCATAATTTTCAATTTGAACAAACTACTTTTTTCAGTTTCTTTTTGAAACAATTTAGGTTTTGGCAAGAAACTTACAATAAAACAATTTATTTTTGAAATGATATTGATTTTTAATATTATTGAAAAAGATAGTTATTTTTTTATAAAGACAAGTAAAAAAACTGATCGTCCTTGGAATAAAACCCATACACGCACACAGGAGATGAATCGCCAGTGCCTTATAATTGTTATAAAATGTTATGACATGTGGGGCAATATAGGTTAAGCTTATGTCTTCCTAGGATGTGAGGTGAAAGGTCAGTAGATTAAAGCTGGTAGGCAATCTGCAGCTCAAGTCACTACATTTAATCTTGACTAAATATAGTCTAAATTGCAGATCTTAAGATATTTGTTTAATTTCAAGGTCAAAGATTCAAGTATACATACATTATTTAAGCCTCTTAGGTATTGGACTATAGGTATAGGTATATTCATTTGTGATCTGCAAGCTCAAGGGGGGGGGGGGGGGGGGGTACTTCTAAACTTAATTGATAGGGGGTGCCACTGGTGTTCTGTTACCCCACCCTTTTCATATGATTTAGATTTTAAAAATGGATACCTTTTCATTTATTGCATGGGTAAAAATGTAACCTTTTTCCATTTTGGTTGGGTATCGTGTGGTGTGTTGGAAAAGTGGAATACCACAGTGTCAAAAGAGGGACAATTTGTGGATAAAAACACAGCCGGGAACACCAAGAAAGATGACAGACGAAGAAGAATTAACAAATAATGGGAACTTTATTGACCTTATCATATATTTCTGATAGTTCCCCCACCTATTTACATATTTTCAAGCTGGAAAATGTGACATATTCCAGCAGCACGTCCTATCACCTTGCATATAGGAAGTGGCCACCCTGAGTTTGCAAGTAGATAGATATATCTGCTTAAGAATCAATCAATTTATCAAAAAAAAACTAGATAAATGGTTGGTGCCTTTTACTAGATAATGATATTTTTGTCCTTTTTACACTGAGATAATTGTTTGAATTTTTGTCATACATGTATATAAGCTTATTGAGCCAGTTTGGAAAAAGGGCTAACCTATGTCAATATTTGATTTTGATTTTTGGTGTTTTAACCAAGGCTTCCAAAACGGTCATATATTCCGGACATTTGTATAATGTCCGGTAAAAGTCCACCTTTAAGCACCCCTTTTGGGCTATTTTGTGACGGCCAGTTTTAATTGGTGGAGAAAGCTGGAGCGCCCGGAGAAAACTACCGACCTTCGATAGGAAAACTGGCAATCCTAGTCAATTATGATTGGAGTCGAGTGCACCTGCATGAGCGGGGTTCGAACTCATAACCTCAGTGTTGACTGGCTAGTGATTACAGTAGTAACTACTTAGACCACTCGGCTACCGAGGCCCCAATTATATCAATATAACGGTACTATAAACAACTGTCATGCAAATTGGAGGTTTAGCTACATGAAGCTGTAAATCCAGGTTTAACCCATCATTTTCTTAGGAAAAGCCTGTACCAGGTAAAAAATATGACAGTTGTTTCTCATTGGTTCTGTAGGTTGATACAGTCAAACATATGATTTTGTCAGGCTTTATGGACCCCCCTCCCCCTTTTAGAATTTACTTTGGAGTTAAGTATTTTTGTTATTTCTTTTTTAGTATGTTTTTTAAACTGATGTCTATAGGTTAAAAGAAGGATTTTGTTATTTATAACTTGTTGTTAAACATTGTGACATGTGAGTCAATATAGGTTAATCTAAATAATGTCATCAAAGGATGAGAGGTGAAAGGTCAAATCTGAACATTAATTTAGGATAGACTCTTGACTCCTCAAAATTCAAGAGTCTATCCTACATTGAGGTAAATTATGTGGCCTTCCAATAACCGTTTTGATTCCTAACATCACTGAAGAGACATTAATTGTCGAAATCTGGATATGGTGTACAAAAAATCTTTGCACCTTTGTTTGCGGTATACCATCTTCGCCGCAAGTTTATTGTTTTTTTTTGGTATTAAATTTATAGTTAAGATCCATTTATTACACATTGTGATCCGTTTATTTGGCAATCGCCAATGGCAGTCAGCAGGATTTAAGAACATTTGTTGTTCGACCTGTTAGTCAAATGGGTTTTGTTAAAATATACTTTTTCACTTTTTTGGTCTTTTGGAAAATGCATCAGAGGTTTATATTGTCTTGGATAATTTTGAAAAAAATCAGTGCCCAACAACTATTTTTAAACTGCTAAAGTATAGCTGAAATGTAATGAAATTGCAGATCTTAAAAACATTTTTATTTTTCAAGGTCAGAGATCTTATATGTCTTATAAAGGCTTATATGTATATGTACATAGAGGACTTTGGAATTAATGTACTTTCCCGTAAATTTCCTATGTCTCAATGCTGATGTTATTACTTAGTATATAAGAACTGATTGTTCGATGGCGTTGTTTGCGCCGATTGACCTCAAGTCAACCTGTGTAACTCATATATAAAAAGCAACTTGAGATGCAAGTAAAAAGATAAAGTTTTGTGATGCACTTCCATAAACATTTTATGCACTTACTGATAATGTTTATTGCAGAAAAAAATGTGACCAAACAGACTCCTACTTCAACAAAATTGACAGATTTACAAACAACATCAGCCCCTTCTACTTCAGGTATGTGAAAATTATTTACAGCCTCATTTTGATATTGCACTTCTTATTATATTACTGTCAAATCTGTATATAAAGGTCACCAAGGTTAACTTCTACATCATTTGGTCTCTGGTGAAAAGTTGTCTCTATGGCAATCATACCACATCTTATTATTGTTATATTATAAGAGAGTTGACCTCTGAAATGAGGTTCAAAATGCATAGTTATTACTACAGTGGGACAAGAAGTAGGTGACCTGACAAAATAGATTTTCACTTAAAAGAGGTGACCTTTAAAGTCTGTTTGACTGTACCTAAATATTGTCTTAGTTAATACATGTACCAAATAATACTATACATCCGTCAAACAAAAACAATAGAATTAGATAGGTGTTTCTAAGACTAGTTAGGCAGTTAACCAAATTTTGATGCCTGGACATACCAAGGTTATATATTTATGATGAGTATGGAAATATTCACATACTTAATTTACAAAATACCTTGAATGCTCAAATACTAACAGAAATGATTAAATATAGATTTTTGATAACTAATCTATTCATTCCTTATTTAGATTGTTCAACTGTAATGAGGACTTTGTCCCCTAATATCCACTCCTTGTCAAATGGATGTCTGAACAAAGGGTTTTTGGAAGCAGAAGAGATTATCAAGAAGCTGACATCTTTTTTGTATGCAAAAGCCCACAACAGTATTCCAGATGGAATTAAAAATGACGTTTATTTTGTGGTAAAGAACGATAAAAATGTCGAAAGACGTAAAAAGGGAGCCATTAGTAATTTTTCTGATGACTGTGGAGTATACAACTGCTTCAGAGGATCAACTTCGAAAAGTTACCTTGTTACTAACCCAGAAGGCAGGCTTAAGGCGATACATAAAAAAGGTGATCAGTTCTGCTATGCAAAGCAAGTCAAAGGAAAAAAAATATACTATCCACTTGATACTCAGCCATTGTCAGACAATATTATTGAACTATTTAGACACTATAGCACATTGAAGAAGGATTCATCATACAAGAGACGGGTGTCATGGTTAGGAGGACATGAAAATCATATTGCCCTAGTAGAGTATTCTGGAGAATTTCCTGGATTAGTACCACATGGAAATTCTAAAAATGATAAAAAATATGTTCGAACACCTGCCAGTGTAATGTCTGAGATGTCGGATCTGCTACATCAAGATAAACCTTCGGATGTATACAACAAGCTGACACTAAAACATAACAAATTGAGTGGACTCATCAGTAGGAAACAAATATATGACAAGAAGCACAAGGACAAAAAGAGGCAGTGTAAGGTCTATTTGATAACTCACACATAATATAATTAAAAAAAAAAAAAACTGTGGTTTTATGTATTTGTTTACTTCAAATTTATCCTACAGAAATAAGAAGATGTGGTACTGCAATGAGATAACAATCCACTCGAGACCAAATCACATAGATGTTATCAGCTATAGGTCACTGTACAGCAATGAGAACTGAACAAACCCATTCAGTATAGTAAGAAACTGATAAAGTTTGAAATAATTCAAAGAGAAAACCAATGACCTAATTTATGTATGAATTATATAACAGACTGCAACCAACAACAACCTCTGAATTACGGGCTCCTGACTTTAGACAGGCACATACAAAATATGGTGGGGTTAAACATGTGTGCTATCTCTAAGCCCTCCCCTAGCCTAGAACAGTGGTGGAACAACAGTACAACATAGGAGAAAACTGTTAAAATCAGTTGGAAAGGGCTTGATTTTTCAGAAAAAAAAAGAAAAAAAAACTGACAAAAAGACAAAACACAATGTATTGATCCAAGAGTTTTCACAGTTACTGAAAACTAATTCATAACTTTACCTTGAATAAAAAATTAATCAATACATATCCAATGGAGTAAGTGTGAAGATGTCATATTAAACAGTCAGAGAAAAACATGATATAGTGCAATGCCAAAATATAGGTAATGACAGGATGTAGGACCATAAGCAGACATATTTAGTGATGTTGAAATTTATTAAAAACAAAATGTTAGTACTGATAAAGATCTCATTACTTTGTTAAATTGATAACCTATAGAATAAGTTTATTCAAAGGATCGTTAAGTTAACATGGAATAGACCTGATCTAATTAAATGCTCTATAGAAGACTTTCAAATTTGTTCATTTTCCCGTACATTTCCTATGTTACAATACTTATGTTATTATGTCGCAGGAAGAATAGATTGTTCATTGATGTCATTTACATCGATTGACCTCATATCAACCAGTGTATCTCATTCATTAAAAACAACTTGAGATTGGTTCTAAGACTACACATACAGCCAAACTTCCAAATATGAGGAATTTAGAAAAGTGGTTACGAAATTCTTGACTTAATAATATTTCAATTATTTGAATTGTTGCATAACGTTTTGTAAAGAATTTCCATTGATATTTGTCACAAATGTTGAGTTCAACTGGTGACAGAGATAATAATTCTATATACATATACCTTACATTTTAGTCAAACTAAAGACAAAAAGTGACGTACTGAAAGAACAAAGTTCCATACCAGGTGAGTAAAGTAATATACAACTCATCTGACTGTTGCTTTGTCATGGCATGCAGGTTATACCTGGTGAGTATAGGAATATACAACTCATCTGACTGTTGTTTGTCATGACATGCAGGTTATACCAGGTGAGTATAGTAATATACAATTCATCTGACTTGTTTGTCATGGCATGAAGGTTATACCAGGTGAGTATAGTAATATACAAATTATCTGACTGTTGTTTGTCATGGCATGCAGGTTATACCAGGTTAGTACAATAATAAAGAACTTATCTGACTATTGCTTTGTCATGGAATGCAGGTTATACCAGGTGAGTATAGGAATATACAACTCATCTGACTGTTGTTTGTCATGGCATGCAGGTTATACCAGGTGAGTATAGTAATATACAACTCATCTGACTTGTTTGTCATGGCATGAAGGTTATACCAGGTGAGTATAGTAATATACAAATTATCTGACTGTTGTTTGTCATGGCATGCAGGTTATACCAGGTTAGTACAATAATAAAGAACTTATCTGACTGTTGCTTTGTCATGGCATGCAGGTTATACCAGGTGAGTATAGGAATATACAACTCATCGGACTGGTGTTTGTCATGGCATGCAGGTTATACCAATGAGTATAGGAATATACAACTCATCTGACTGTTGTTTGTCATGGCATGCAGGTTATACCAGGTGAGTACAATAATAAAGAACATATCTGACTGTTGTTTGTCATGGCATGCAGGTTATACCAGGTGAGTACAATAATATACAACTCATCTGACTGTTGCTTTGTCATGGCATGAAGGTTATACCAGGTGAGTATACATGTAGTAATATACAACTCATCTGACTGTTGTTTGTCATGGCATGCAGGTTAGCACTTGTAATGTTCAGTGTCTTCATTTTTTGTTAATGTTGTACCTCAATATAAGGTTACCTTTGAAAATTTGAGAAAAGTCAATAACTTAAAGTTTTAACCAAATTTGTTGGAAATAATTTATGAAATATTTTTTGAAAAATCTTTACTCTGCTATTTATTTGATGTAAACAGAATCAATTCTCGATTCCTACCAGATTATATTGATGTATCTTCTCTTCTGAAGCTGTAACTACAAACATTTCCACAATTTAAAGCAAAAAACATAGTGAAAAGATCTTCAATTTGATACAATATCAAGCCAGTATTGCATAACAAGTTAAAGGACACAGGCTCCTTGGAATATGTGCTAAATTATCTGTTTGCTTGGGCAAATAATGTGTTAGAATGAGAATTTCTACAAAAAACATTTTACCAGCATATCAATTGTTGTAACCAAAAACCAATATCTGATCAAAACATGTGTCAGAATTGGTTTAAAAAAAAACATGTTAAACAAACATTGTCACTTTATTCGTTGATAAACTGCAAATGTGGACTTCTGATGTTTTTCAGTAAGTGGCTAAAAAAAATCCTGACCAACCTAATTGGTCCTTATAACCTATAATATTTAGATAAGAAACATATACACACTATTTTTTTACCTTATACTATTTTTAGTTTATTAATTTTTATTGTAGAAAATTCAGATACATCTGATGAAGTTTCATCTGCAGTTTATCATATTATAGGTTTGTAACTAACTTAGTAAACTAATTCAATCACAAAATAACTTTGAAAGCCCATAAGTTCTGAATATATTACTTTCTGACAAATATGTAAACTGTTATTTAGACATTAACACTTCTGGAGCATATATCTAGTACACATCATAATGTTTGAAGACCTATTGGAGTACCCTATCATACACAAAGAGTAAGTCAATTTGACCTTTTTACATCTATGACCACCCTTGGGCCAGGGTGCAGATTTTGGAGTATTGCAGCCTGTTATATTTGACCTATATTTTTCACATTATTGACTTCATAAGAAACTTACAATTGTATAACTTGGTTTTTCCGATATTAATTTCTAACAGAATGAAGGTCACTCTAACCCATAGTTTAGGCTTCAGTGACCTATTTACATGTATGTTATTCAAGTTAAAATTTTGAGTCTTGATCTCAGATAGAGGGATAATGATTTTTTAAAGGCAGTGCTTTAATGCCTTTCTAGTTGCCGTGTTAATCTTTCTTTCCGCGATATCCAACTTATCTACGTGGGGAGTCATTAGGCTCCCAAGTAGATCCGGAAAATGTTGATTCTCTCCTCTTCTTATTGTGATATAAAATGTTTTTTGTTTCATTTCATTTACATTGGGAAATAGAGAAACGATCATTGTGTTTTGTTAGTTTTAAAAACTTTTGATATATTTGTATTTTGCATTATAAGCAGTCAACCGATTGACAAACTAGAATTATTTGAATTCCGTGTGGAAAGAGGTCGGGTTAATTTCGAGTGTTATCTGCAATCTAGATGTTTATAAATCATTTCAGTCGTTGATATAATAATTAAAGGTCGACTGAACATGAATTATATTATACAATTTAAGGCGCATTTCTGTTTATGCACGTGAACCCATCTAACGTTATTGATTGTTATTTCGCAGTTATATAAAGTAGCAAATTATCGTTCCTGAATAGGTGGCGCCGTGGTAGCCGATCCTGTTCTTAATTTTCCGGTTTCTGCACTGTGCAACTATACAGTTGCATTTTTAATTAACGATGCCAAGTACTTGTTGTTGTGTACCTGGATGTCATTTAAGAGGAGGACATGCATTTCCAAATGACTTAAAAAGAAGGAAAAGTTGGATCAACGCCATGGCCCATTCGCAGATTGGACGAGAACACGATGAAATCGTGGAGTCCATCTCAATCAGCTGTTCAGCCTGTTGTTTGCAAGGCACATTTTACTGAAAAAGACTACGTGCAGGAAACTATTCATGGTAAAACTCTATTTTCTTTTTAAAATATATAGTTATATATGTAATCGCCATGCGAATAAACCAAAGTCTGTTTACAACTGCAATTATCGTTTTAGATAAAAGGGGGTGGTTAATTCAAGACGTCATAATTTTTTGGATTACGATGCAATGTGATCTGTTTGAGATTTTTTGGTGCTTGCTACAATTATAATGATTTCTTACAAGAGGTATATCATACTGAGAATTATTTTAGCAGTAATTATGCTAATGTTATAATGACAGGAATGCATAAGCTATGCCTCATAGACTTTCTTGAAAAATATCAATGACAATGTTAACAGGAACAAAACAATGACATGCTCTCATCTATATTATAGTTATTTAGGTACAAACAATGTATGTTTGTTGCATAAGTCTCTCATTGTTTGTCCTTTGGATTTACATAACATACATTTTGATGTACATTGAATCAGGCTAACATAGTTTTATCCAGATTGTAATGAATAAATCTAGTTAATATTTTGCCAGGTAGTACAAAGTATGCATTGCTAATGGAAGTTCATTTAATTATAAAAAAACTAATGTTTTATAACCTTTTTCAGGGCGCAAACCCACCATGCAGAGACTTAATTCTACTGCCATTCCCAGCCTATTTTCCTGGACCAAGCAAGAGACTGAATCGTCCGCAAAAAGAAAAATCAGGGCAGGTTCCTGTGAAAACAAAAGAACTAAGTTTCAAGTTTTATTAAATCAGGAAAATCAATACAAAGTATAATGATGTCTTCCCCCACATTAACATGATATTACATCAGATAGATAAATATATATTATGTATGACAAAATATCAAATCAAGGTTAAAACTAAACTTGATGAATATTGTAGTAGAAATCTAGAGGAAAGTTTTGATTGTAAAGTTGGTTTTCCTGAAGAAGTCATTCATACTGCAGACAGGATTTATGACTGTCCACCACAAACTGCCGAGCTAATGTTGAGCTTCACAGATGGAATTACGCAAACACCATCAATGCCTATATATTCAGCAGAGAATTTTGAAATGAAGACACGTGACACAGCCATGCATTTTTATACCTGTTTAGAGTTGTATACTACAATTTTATTTGTTTTGACCACACTTGGTCCAGCAGCACATTGTTTGAGATACATATATTTTCAAATTGATAGGGTGTCATTTGAAAATCAGTTTTTTTATGACTTTGATGAAATTGAGGCATTATACAACCAACTTTGAACTGTTCAGATTCTAGATTGAAACTAGTGTTAAGAATGTTGTGTAAACATGGATTGTTTTTATTTTTAAACAGTGGCGTGAGGCTAACACTTGGCCATTTAGTGGTTAAGTCAGGTATTTTTCGCCATCCAACTTCAAATTAAAGTTTCCTACAACTTGGATTATTATTGACAGCACAGAATATCCCGTGATAAAACCTAAAGCTCCTAGAGCTCAGGCAACCTTTTCATCATATAAAAACAGAAACACTGAAAATACTCGTACATGTATGTTCGACACCTGGTGGTTTAGTCATCTATGTCTCTAATGCATATGTTGGTTGTACCAGTGACTGTGAAATAGTTGAAAGATGTAGAATAGTTCAATTATGTGATCCAGGTGACAGTGTGATGGCAGACAAAGGTTTAAATGTGCAAGATTTGTTTGCTCACTTTTTTCAAAAAAAGAAACAGAATTAGTTCCAAAACTCATATACGGGATAGAAAAGTCTCCAATTAACACGTGCACATAGAGCTAATTATTGGACTTGGCAAAACATACAAAATTCTAATAAATCCTATGAATGGAACTGAAACAAAACTTTCATCTGAAATAACATTTAGTTGTTTTATGTTGTGTAATTTTAGAACTTGTATTGTGCCAACATGACATGGCCAAAGGATGCATAAATAAAAGTGACGCAATGAAGTTTGTTCTGATATATACATGTATTTATTTACAATTACATGCACATGTAAATTGTAATGCATATAAAAATAAGGAGATGTGGTATGATATTCAGTGAGTTTATCGAACCAAAGTGCATAAGAAATGGGTTAAGCAGTTACAGGTGTTACTGTCACCGTACAATCTCCAACAATGAGAAAAACTTGTACCGTGTAAAAAATTTCAGAGAAAATTTACAACTAAGCTTTGTTGTCTCACCTTGACTTTGGTGAATTTTTTATATCTGTTGATGTAAATATAAAAAAGAAGATGTGGTATGATTGCCAATGAGACAACTCTCCACAAGAGACCAAACGACACAGAAATTAACAGCTATAGGTCACAGTACGGCCTTCAACAATGAGCAAAGCACATACTGCACAGTGAGCTATAAAAGTCCCGAAATGACAATGTAAAACAATTCAAACAAGAAAACTAACGGCCTAATTATGTACAAAAAATGAACGAATAACAAATATGCAACACATAAACAAACCACAACCACTGAATTACAGGCTCCTGACTTGGGATAGGCACATACATGTACATACAGAATGTGGCGGGGTTAAACATGTTAGCGGGATCCCAACCCACCCCCTAACCTGGAACAGTGGTGTAACAGTACAATATAAGAACGAACTATAATCATGATAATAATCAGTTGAAAGAGGCTTAACTCATCAGATGGATAAATACAAATACAAGTGGACGTGGCCGGGTAGTTGTACATCCAAACAACAAAAAGACACTAAGTACAGATCTGAGAGTACTCGCATTTACTGACAGCTAGTTCAAAGCCACTAACAACTGATAAAAAAATCTTGCATCTAAGACTAAATTATCAATCCGTAAGCTCCCTTTAGAATTTTATAAATTTTAGATTTTACATTTCTGAGTTATGGGGTTTTATTCATTAACAAAGGGGGGATTTTCCAGTTTTTGGACAACTCAAAAATGCTTTAAGCAGTTCGCATGAAACTTTGGTGAATTATTTATAGCTATTGATGTAATCTCCCTATTGATTTTCATAAATTTCAAATATGACATTGAGAAGAAATTGAACTTCATTTGTTTATAGTCTGGCAACAGATTTATTAAGTATTGCGCAACAGCACAGTGTATTGCACAACAGCAAGAAATCTTTAATTGAATATAAATTCAATTCATATAACCAATTTCAAGTTCTTTGACTACATTTATTCAGAAACTTTAATATGTCAAATATTTAATTACAATCCAAATTCAGACCTGTATCAAGCTTGAATATTGTGTCCATTTTTGCCCCAACTGTTCAGTGTTGGACCTCTGCGGGTGTATCCAGCTGCGCTCAGCGAATCAGTTTATTTCTTAATTAAGAACTCCTTTTTGTCGAGCCTGCGACTTTTGTCGCAGAAAGCTTGACATAGGGATAGTGATCCGTTGGCAGTGTTAGCTAACTTCTTAAAAGCTTTATATTTTAGAAGGTGGAAGGTCTGGATGCTTCATACTTTGTATATGGATGCCTCATGTTACGAAATTTCCGTCAGTCACATGTCCAATGTCCTTGACCTCATTTTCATGGTTCAGTGACTACTTGAAAAAAAAGTTAAGATTTTTTGTAATGTTAAATTCTCTCTTATTATAAGTAATAGGATAACTATATTTGGTATGTGCGTACCTTGCAAGGTCCTCATGCCCGTCAGACAGTTTTCACTTGACCTCGACCTCATTTCATGGATCAGTGAACAAGGTTAAGTATTGGTGGTCAAGTCCATATCTCAGATACTATAAGCAATAGGTCTAGTATATGCAGTGTATGGAAGGACTGTAAGGTGTACATGTCCAACTGGCAGGTGTCATCTGACCTTGACCTCATTTTCATGGTTCAGTGGTTATAGTTAAGTTTTTGTGTTTTGGTCTGTTTTTTTTTATACTGTATGCAATAGGTCTAATATATTTGGTGTATGGAATGATTGTAAGGTGTTCATGTCTAGCTGGCAGGTGTCATCTGACCTTGACCTCATTTTCAAGGTTCAGTGGTCAAAGTTAAGTTTTTGAGTTTTGGTCTTTTTTCTAATACTATATGCAATAGTTCAACTATATTTGGTGTATGGAAATATTTTATGATCTATTTGTCAGTCACGCAGGTTTTTTTTTACCTTGACCTCATTTTCAAGGTTCATTGCTCAGTTTTAAGTTTTTGTGTTTTGGTCTGTTTTTCTTAAACTATAAGCAATAGGTCAACTATATTTGTTGTATGGAAGAATTGTTAGCTGTACATGCCTGCCTAGCATGGTTCATCTGACCTTGACCTTGACCTCATTTTCTTAGTTCATTGGTCAATGTTTAGTTTACTTGGTTAATGTTAAGTTTATGTGACAGTTGTAATAAAGCTTTATATTTAGGACTATCAACATAATATCAATGATTAGTAAAGAAGGCGAGACATTTCAGCTTGTGCACTCTTGTTTCATTCATAAATTACTTTATACTTGGAAATATAATTTTGCTTGGAGTTATAGTTTCTAAAAAAAGTATTGTCATTGAAAGAGTTGACATGTTGCAATGTACATTTATTCTACATAGTTCTATGGTACCAAATCAAAAGTTTATATAAAAGAAAGAAGTCAAAGGTTTCCCATCATAGTTTAGTTACATACATTTTTTTTGTACCTGAGGTCGTTGAATATAGATCATTATATAAATAAGGAGATGTGTTATGATTGCCAATGAAACAACTATCATCCATACATTGTACTTACCAGTAACAAACCACATTTGCAAAGTTGAATAAAATACAGTTGATAACATTTATTTATTACTAAAAAGAAAATGCCAAACTATTTTAAACAGTATTTGACTATTAACATAGATAAAAAAGGTACAAACTGGACATAATGCACTAGTTCATAAACAAGTGAGAACAATCGCCTTCATATAGTGCTCAGAATATGACATTCATAAAACTTGTTCAATATCATTAGAGAACTCTAAATCTTAAATACTGAAAGCCACCTCTGATAAGTACAATGTACTTTGCAAGAATATGATATAACTGGACTAAAAATACACACAACCTGTAATTAACTGCCTTTACAGCGCTTTCGCGCTTTGATTTATAAAAGGGCATGCATGGTTATTGATTTTTTTTCAATAGGGGGCCAGCAAGGTCACTAAATTTGATTGATAAGAGTACCAATATTAAATGGCAGGTACCCAACATTTTAGAAATGTATATGTCCGGCAAGGTCTTATTTTGGTTTGACTAATTAATAATTGTCACATCCAAACTAAAAACCTAAAAGTACAAATAAAATCCTCTAAGTTAAATAAAACATTTTTCTGCTAACTGTATATTTTGGACACTGACGTGACGTGCTGAACATGGGATTTGAGCTCAAATTACAAAAACACCCCCCATTCATAAACTGAATTTCTTGTGAAAATCACGACCAATATTTATTTTTCATTGCCAAATCATAACCCATTTATATATTTATCAGTTATCACTGTGATAACTGAGAAATATGTAAATGGGTTATGATTTTGCCATGAAATATAAATATTGGTCGTGATTTTCATATACAATTTTTGACTTCTTAATTTGATTTAAAAGATAAAACAGCAAATATCAAATTGAAAGATGAAAATTACTGACCAATTGACATTTTACCTTGGTGAAATTGTAACAACATTGATGTATTTGACATATCAAAAAAAGGACCTGTTCCAGTGGCATGTCTGTGTAAACCTTATCTTACCTTCTATTCCAGTGGCATGTCTGTGTAAACCTTATCTTACCTTCTATTCCAGTGGCATGTCTGTGTAAACCTTATCTTACCTTCTATTCCAGTGGCATGTCTGTGTAAACCTTATCTTACCTCCTATTCCAGTGGCATGTCTGTGTAAACCTTATCTTATCTCCTATTCCATACGCATGTCTGTGTAAACCTCATCTTACCTCCTATTCCAGTGGCATGTCTGTGTAAACCTTATCTTACCTCCTATTCCAGTGGCATGTCTGTGTAAACCTTATCTTACCTCCTATTCCAGTGGCATGTCTGTGTAATCCTTATCTTACCTCCTATTCCAGTGGCATGTCTGTGTAAACCTTATCTTACCTCCTATTCCAGTGGCATGTCTGTGTAAACCTTATCTTACCTCCTATTCCAGTGGCATGTCTGTGTAAACCTTATCTTACCTCCTATTCCAGTGTCATGTCTGTAAACCTTATCTTACCTCCTATTTCAGTGGCATGTCTGTGTAAACCTTATCTTACCTCCTATTCCAGTGTCATGTCTGTAAACCTTATCTTACCTCCTATTCCAGTGGCATGTCTGTGTAAACCTTATCTTACCTCCTATTCCAGTGTCATGTCTGTAAACCTTATCTTACCTCCTATTCCAGTGGCATGTCTGTGTAAACCTTATCTTACCTCCTATTCATTTCTAGGAATATTATTGGTTAAAAGTGACTGCATGGAGACCATGTATATTTAATATGGGGTTACCTGTTGGTGACCTTCTGCTGTTGTCTGTTCTATGGTCGGGTTGTTGTCTCTTTGACACATTCCCCATTTCCATTCTCAATTTTGTTTAATAGGCATGGTTGATTTTAATGCACAGTTAGTAAGGGTGTTACACATCCTTTATAAAAACAACATGGTGTTGAAGAAAAATCTGAAACATTTTGCCTAGACAACAGATGAAGACATTGATGATGAACGATTGAAAAAATGCAGAAAACACATTAAAAGCTAACAAGTTGTTATTGTTGACATTTGTTTTTTTATAGACCAATGGAATTAGGTTCTTCATATTGAAGACTTGATCACTTTGATAGGCTACTAGGCACATGTTAAGATAGTCAGTAAGATAAATTCGTAACACAGTGTGCTGGTGACCTAATACAATATATATGGGGTCAGTAAATTCTATATGGGGTTCGAGCTCGATCTCACCTCATATGGAGTTATATATATATCGTATTAGGTCATTAAGTCACTAACACATTGTGTTACTTATAAGAAAAGATCCCCTTGTGCTTAATAAGTCTGGAATAAACAATATGATAAATGGAAATGGACCATGGTGTCCATAACACCTTAGACATTGGAAACAAGTGCAATATTGTGTTAGGAAAGGCCTGAAATAGATGACAAGTGTGGTCCCTCTATTTTAGGCTAGCACAGACATTTAATTTCACACACTGTTTTAGACAGCCAAAAAATAATAAGAATGTTGTATCAACCAGTATATGAACACAACATGCAATTAACATCTGTTTACATCAATAATTGATCTACCGACTTTTGTCAAATCTGCAGTGGTCAGAAAAGTCTTAATACTAGCTTGCCCAAGTTTGTAAACAGATAGAATAATCTGTCAAGGCAGTGGTCAGAAAATTCTTAATACTTGTTTGCCAGGATTTGAAAATGGATAGAATAATCAGTCAAGGCATTGGTCAGAAAAGTCTTCATACTTGTTTGCCAAGGTTTGTAAACGGATAGAATAATCTAGTCAAGGCAGTGGTCAGAAAAGTCTTCATACTTGTTTGCCGGGGTTTGTAAACGGATAGAATAATCTGTCAAGGCAGTGGTTAGAAAAGTCTCAATGCTTGTTAACAGATAGTATAATCTGTCAAGGCAGTGGTCAGAAAAAGTCTCAATGCTTGTTTGCCAGGGTTTGTAAATGGATAGAATAATCTGTCAAGGCAGTGGTCAGAAAAGTCTCAATGCTTGTTTGCCAGGGTTTGTAAACAGATAGTATAATCTGTCAAGGCAGTGGTCAGAAAAGTCTCAATGCTTGTTTGCCAGGGTTTGTAAACAGATTTTATAATCTGTCAAGGCAGTGGTCAGAAAAATCTCAATTTTTGTTTGTCAGGGTTTGTAAACAGATTGTATAAACTGTCAAGGCAGTGGTCAGAAAAGTCTTAATACTTGTTTGCCAGGATTTGTAAACAGATAGAATATTCTGTCAAGGCAGTGGTCAGAAAAGTCTTAATACTTGTTTGCCAGGATTTGTAAATGGATAGAATAATCTGTCAAGGCAGTGGTCAGAAAAGTCTTCAAACTTTTTTGTCAAGGTTTGTAAACAGATAGAATACTCTAGTCAAGGCAGTGGTCAGAAAAGTCTTCATACTTGTTTGCCAGGGTTTGTAAACGGATAGAATAATCTGTCATGGCAGTGATCAGAAAAGTCTTGATACTTGTATTCCAAGGTTTGTAAACAGATAGAATAATCTGTCAAGGCAGTGGTCAGAAAAGTCTTGATACTTTTTTGTCAAGGTTTGTAAACAGATAGAATACTCTAGTCAAGGCAGTGGTCAGAAATGTCTCAATACTTGTTTGCCAGGGTTTGTAAACAGATAGTATAATCTGTCAAGGCAGTGGTCAGAAAAGTCTCAATACTTGTTTGCCAGGGTTTGTAAACGGATAGTATAATCTGTCAAGGCAGTGGTCAGAAAAGTCTCAATGCTTGTTTGCCAGGGTTTGTAAACAGATAGAATAATCTGTCAAGGCAGTGGTTAGAAAAGACTCAATGCTTGTTTGCCAGGGTTTGTAAACAGATAGTATAATCTGTCAAGGCAGTGGTCAGAAAAGTCTTAATACATGTTTGCCAGGGTTTGTAAACAGATAGAATAATCTGTCAAGGCAGTGGTCAGAAAAGTCTCAATGCTTGTTTGCCAGGGTTTGTAAACGGATAGTACAAATGTATAATCTGTCAAGGCAGTGGTCAGAAAGTCTCAATGCTTGTTTGCCAGGGTTTGTAAATGGATAGAATAATCTGTAAAGCTAGTGGTCAGAAAAGTCTCAATGCTTGTTTGCCTGGGTTTGTAAACGGATAGAATAATCCGTCAAAGCAGTGGTTAAAAAAGTCTCAATGCTTGTTTGCCAGGATTTGTAAACAGATAGAATAATCTGTCAAGGCAGTGGTTAGAAAAGTCTCAATACTTGTTTGCCAGGGTTTGTAAACAGATAGTATAATCTGTCACGGCAGTGGTCAGAAAAGTCTCAATGCTTGTTTGCCAGGGTTTGTAAACGGATAGTATAATCTGTCAAGGCAGTGGTCAGAAAAGTCTCAATACTTGTTTGCAAGGGTTTGTAAACGGATAGAATAATCTTGCAAGGCAGTGGTCAGAAAAGTCTCAATACTTGTTTGCCAGGGTTTGTAAACGGATAGTATAATCTGTCAAGGCAGTGGTCAGAAAAGTCTCAATACTTGTTTGCCAGGGTTTGTAAACAGATAGAATAATCTGTCAAGTTAGTAATCCACCTATGAACATTTCATATAGTTATAATAATGTTGTTATTTATGATATTTATTAAAGTTACATTGTAATATTAGAAGACAGATTTGTAAAAGCAACTTTGCTTGTTCCTGAATCCTAGATATTTATTTCATGTGTATTATAATATTATATGATGATTTATCTGAATAAATATTGTTTAAACTATTGCAGAAGATAATTTCACAAAACAGAATACTCGTACTACTTCAGAAAAGACACCTCAAAGATTTGGTCAGACTAATTTACAAACAGCATCAGCTCCTTCTATTTCAGGTATTTAAATATTGTTTATTCTGATATTGTCTTTTTATATTGTGTTAATTGACAATTGTCAAAGTTACTAAATGATGTTATAGCTACAGATAGGTATTTCTTGGACAACTTATACCATACAAATCATTATTCATATGTTACATACATATATTTAACATGTCTAACGTTATTTAAAGGAAACTCTCTGTACACATCACTGTAAATAGAGAAGTGAATTTGAAGTATATAAATTATTCATTTCACTCAACATGGTAATTAAAACTGCAAATTTAATTCCATTATCTATCGTCATATACATATAAATATTTTCTAACATATAAACATTTAGCTTCATGCATCCAAATATTGGTACAGTTTCTGTGTGCTTTCATGGAGGTTCCTTTTAAGGTTAACAGTTGTTTTTTTACTCACAATCATGTATTGAATATTTTACAAAGAAGAAAAAGATTGTTCTGCTTTGGTAAAACATGTAAAAACTTCTTTTAAGGCATGAACAACATAGCATTTTACTGTGATTTAAACCTTTATAGGGATATAGGCATCAATTATATAGACATACAACTATTGGAAAGCATATATAAAATCCAGCATGTATTATGTATGCTACAGTATTTTATTTTCTGTTTGACATTGCATTGTTTTTCCAGTGAGAATAAACATACAAACATCTATTGAAATGCCACTTTTATGTACATTTTGTAACACAAATCAGCACAGCTTTTTCAGAAATATATTTTTGCACTTGTTCTTCTGTTTAAACTTATAAATAAGAAACAACTTTTTATTTTGCAGAGTCAGTATTAGAAGTTGAAAAGGAAAAGCTTGAAATTGAAAGAGAAAAGCTGGCTTTAGAAAAAGAAAAAATTGCCATGAAAAGAGAAAAGCTGCAAATGGAAAAAGAAAAGATGAAAATGAAAAAAAGAAGCCTTGAATTATTTGAGGAATATGTAACTTTAAAAAAAGTCAAATTTACAAATGCTGTTTCCGAGGCATGTGAAGTATCTCCAGTAATTGTGACATGTAATTATTAGGCAATACATACAAGAAGAGAAAAGGAAGAATAGACTTTAAATTTATGAATTATATCTACTGACCATAGATGAAAATGATGAATATAATGATTGGTTTAAAAATAAAACACTGCCACATAAAAGCTCTTTTAACTGTTTGCATGGAAATGTATGTTTCAATGGATTTGTAAAAGTTGAAGCCTTTGGCCAAAAAATTGTGAAACAAGAAAATTCAAAGGAATTGGATAATTCTGGATTTCTCATTATGCAAAATGTCATTAAAATAGACAAAAATTCTAAATGATTATTAACTAAGTGATTTTAATGGGATAAAATATAATGTGATCTGTTTTGTATTTTGAAAAATGAAAATTTGTGATTTAAAAATCTTTTCCACTCAAACAACAAAACCAATTTCAACCAAAATTGGTCTGAATGATCCTAAGACTGTTTATCATAACTTTTGGTTGATTGGTTTTGGTCATGGCTGTCATGGATAAAAATAGAACATGTGTAAAATGGAAATTTTGGATATCATAAGAGTCATAATTGATAGGGAGAATTGGAGGGACAAAAATGATCAAAATGAAAATCTACCTATTCTCCTTTAACATCAAATTTATCAAGAGTTTTTCCCCCTATTATGAAAATTTCTGACAAAATAAGATTTTCCCGCCATTTTCTAAGCAAAAATGGTCATGACTACATGATCTACAACATACAATTATATTGCATTATTCTTTTACATAGGATGTTATTAGAACACATACTTACAGCATATGTTTTAATGTACAATTGTATCAATCTTAGTTGAGATCAATCAGTTGAATCTGTATTTGTTCTTCAATTAAACAATTTTTCAAAAAAATTTTGGATGATACATTTTAACAATCTTAGTTGAGTACAACCAGTCGAATCTGTATTTTTTCTTTTCAAGCAATTTTTAGATATAATACACTGTTTCTTAGTGTTTTAGCATTGGCAGGATCATTATAAGGTACAGAATAATTGTCTCCATTGTCAATGACCAAATCATCTGTTAAGTCTGGTAGAGGTAGTTAGTCATCTTTACCTGATACCTCTGTTGTGCAGTTTGTTCCAGGTGTAAATAGAAATCATCCTCTCAAGTTTTGATATGCAAACGCTTCAAATAAAAAATAAGAAATTTTGCACTTTCATGGATTAAAGAAGTTTTTACTCCATACCTAATTATACCCCACTCTAGGAGTGAGGGCTATATTGCAATCACCTAATGTCTCTCTCTCTTTATTCAAATTTTGTTTTTTGTCTCCCTTTTCTCAGAGTGATTTAACATACTTTACTATATTGTTGAATCACCAAATCAGTATCTGATTGTGTGATATACTTGCAGTTTAAGTGATAGGCTTTTTTTTAATAGATATGCAAAATGTGTTCACTTTAGTCTTTTACTTGAAAATTAACTATATTTCAAATGCATGTTTATATTGAAATGTATTCATGATTTTATTCCATTGAATTTTCTACAGAGATTCAACTTGTGGTTATAACTAGTATATATATTATTATTTGGATGTTTTGTAATAAATGAATAGTAAATAAACATCTGGTATGAGAACCAAAAAACAAATTACAAATAAATCATTGTGATAAAAATGAAAAAAATATTTATGTTTTGATTTTATTGTGGAATTATCATCACATAATCCACTTCTGTGTTCAAGAACCTCTTGTAACTGCTTGTTTAAAATTATGGAAATGTGGTAAGATTGCCAAATAGACAACTATCTACCAGAGACCAAAGGAAGAGGATATAAGCAACTAAAAGTCACAAACAATGAGCAAAACCAATACTGTATAGTCAGCTATAAAAGGCCCAGGTATAACAAAATGTGAAATAAATCAAAAGTGAAAACCAAGCTTGATTTATAATAAAACAATAAATAAAAAAACATATGACCGACAACAATCAATGACAACCACTGATTTACAGGCTTCCTACAAAAAAACAATCTAAGACAAATAACTAATAAATAGATCATGTTTTCCCAGACCTCAATGTCAATCAGTTTATATAGAACAAAGGACAAATATTGCTTTTAGTATCCAAGATACAGACTTTACCAAGAAACTTGGGCTTTATCACTGATCTATGAAAGGGGTCGAGGTCAGCTGAACACTGTCTGACAGACATGTAGACCTTGCAAGGATCAAATTTACCAAATAAGGTTATCCTATTACTTTTAACAAGTGAGTATTTCACATGAAAAAAAAGTCTCTGAACCATGAAAATGAGATGAAGTCAAGGACAATGATACACAGAAACTTCATAACACAAGGCATTTGCATACAGGGTATGAAGCATCCTACCTTCTGAAATATAAAGCTTTATATACAAATAGTTAATGCTGATGATGCTGCCGCCGACAGATTGTAATCCCTATGTCACATTCTGCAACTTTCATCTCGGGCCAGACAAAAATGACTTAGGCAAGTGGAGTTCTTGAAAATATTGAAGGAAATCAAAATCTTGTGGACATGCACATCTTCATTATATATTTCAATTGATCTACAAGATAAAAAGGTTACACCTTGTAAGCTGGTAGAAAAGGATATAGATAGACACCATATTCCTGAAATTTGAAGGGAAAAACTTACAAGGGCATGGGCAGCTTTTCAAGCACTTTAATTTCAGAGTGTCACTCAAATATTTTAATTCAGAAGATGTCTTATCATAAAGTGGATGACAAAAATTTCTTAAATCTTTAAAATCGGAGCCAAGAATCCTAGCAGATTGTAAATACTGATGACAGTATTCCTCTTGTAGTGGTCATTTATCTTCTTAAAGCTTTGAATTAGGTAATAGTTTGTGTTTTCTTCTTAAGTTTAGCTGATGTTGCAACAGATAATGTAATAGTTATCTACAAATAGAGTTCTTCTTCAATAGAATGTTCAAAACAAGTGATTAATTTGCTTGTTAAGTTATGTTTGCTCATACATTGGAATTTGGCCAGTTATTATTTGTGGAGGAAGCTCCAATCCCAAGAAAGAACTACTGACCTTAAACAGGAAAACTGGTAATCCTAGTCAATTAAGATTGGAGTCACTTGGGGGGAGGGTTTAATTCACAACCTTAGTGTTGATAGGCTAGTGATACTGTAGATATACTACTTAGACCACATTTGTAAGTGTAACACCTTACAAATAATCTGTTACTTAGAAGCTTACTTTTTATGATGAAAATAAAACTTCATCTAACAAGATATATAAACAAGGTAAAAATACGTCTCACGTATACAGGAGTTAGACCCTTGTTTGAGGGACATAACTCTTCCAATCACGGGTATGTTAGTGTCAACATAGTCATGTGTGAGGCCATTCAAAACAAAAGCAAAAATAACAGGTGAATTTTATTCACAGAAAATGGTGTATAATAATACAATAATGAAAGCAGTTAACCAACATTTAACTCTTAACAGTAAATAAATCTTCAACATAAATTCCAGACTATATCTCAGAAAAAATTTCGACTGAAAAATAATAAATATTATAAAAATACAGCACTTTTTTAAGTTTTAATACTTTTGGTGTACAGCACTTTTTCATATAAACAAGAGTGCACACGCTGAAATGTCTCGCCTTCTTTACTAATCATTGATATTATGTTGATAGTCCTAAATATAAAGCTTTATTACAACTGTCACATAAACTTAACATTAACCAAGTAAACTAAACATTGACCAATGAACCATGAAAATGAGGTCAAGGTCAGATGAACCATGCTAGGCAGGCATGTACAGCTAACAATTCTTCCATACAACAAATATAGTTGACCTATTGCTTATAGTTTAAGAAAAACAGACCAAAACACAAAAACTTAACACTGAGCAATGAACCTTGAAAATGAGGTCAAGGTCAAATAAAACCTGCGTGACTGCCAAATAGATCATAAAATATTTCCATACACCAAATATAGTTGAACTATTGCATATAGTATTAGAAAAAAAGACCAAAACTCAAAAAACTTAACTTTGACCACTGAACCATGAAAATGAGGTCAAGGTCAGATGACACCTGCCAGCTAGACATGAACACCTTACAATCATTCCATACACCAAATATATTAGACCTATTGCATACAGTATAAAAAAAACCAGACCAAAACACAAAAACTTAACTATAACCACTGAACCATGAAAATGAGGTCAAGGTCAGATGACACCTGCCAGTTGGACATGTACACCTTACAGTCCTTCCATACACTGCATATACTAGACCTATTGCTTATAGTATCTGAGATATGGACTTGCCCACCAAAACTTAACCTTGTTCACTGATCCATAAAATGAGGTCGAGGTCAAGTGAAAACTGTCTGACGGGCATGAGGACCTTGCAAGGTACGCACATACCAAATATAGTTGAACTATTGCATATAGTATTAGAAAAAAAGACCAAAACTCAAAAACTTAACTTTGACCACTGAACCATGAAAATGAGGTCAAGGTCAGATGACACCTGCCCGCTAGACATGTACACCTTACAATCATTCCATACACCAAATATAGTAGACCTATGGCAAACAGTATAAGAAAAACAGACCAAAACACAAAAACTTAACTATAACCACTGAACCATGAAAACGAGGTCAAGGTCAGATGACACCTGCCAGTTGGACATGTACACCTTACAGTCCTTCCATACACCGAATATACAAGACCTATTGCTTATAGTATCTGAGATATGGACTTGCCCACCAAAACTTAACCTTGTTCACTGATCCATAAAATGAGGTCGAGGTCAAGTGAAAACTGTCTGACGGGCATGAGGACCTTGCAAGGTACGCACATACCAAATATAGTTGAACTATTGCATATAGTATTAGAAAAAAAGACCAAAACTCAAAAACTTAACTTTGACCACTGAACCATGAAAATGAGGTCAAGGTCAGATGACACCTGCCCGCTAGACATGTACACCTTACAATCATTCCATACACCAAATATAGTAGACCTATGGCAAACAGTATAAGAAAAACAGACCAAAACACAAAAACTTAACTATAACCACTGAACCATGAAAACGAGGTCAAGGTCAGATGACACCTGCCAGTTGGACATGTACACCTTACAGTCCTTCCATACACCGAATATACAAGACCTATTGCTTATAGTATCTGAGATATGGACTTGACCACCAAAACTTAACCTTGTTCACTGATCCATGAAATGAGGTTGAGGTCAAGTGAAAACTGTCTGACGGGCATGAGGACCTTGCATGGTACGCACATACCAAATATAGTTGAACTATTGCATATAGTATTAGAAAAAAAGACCAAAACTCAAAAACTTAACTTTGACCACTGAACCATGAAAATGAGGTCAAGGTCAGATGACACCTGCCCGCTAGACATGTACACCTTACAATCATTCCATACACCAAATATAGTAGACCTATGGCAAACAGTATAAGAAAAACAGACCAAAACACAAAAACTTAACTATAACCACTGAACCATGAAAACGAGGTCAAGGTCAGATGACACCTGCCAGTTGGACATGTACACCTTACAGTCCTTCCATACACCGAATATACAAGACCTATTGCTTATAGTATCTGAGATATGGACTTGCCCACCAAAACTTAACCTTGTTCACTGATCCATGAAATGAGGTTGAAGTCAAGTGAAAACTGTCTGACGGGCATGAGGACCTTGCAAGGTACGCACATACCAAATATAGTTATCCTATTACTTATAATAAGAGAGAATCTAACATTACAAAAAATCTGAACTTTTTTTTCAAGTAGTCACTGAACCATGAAAATGAGGTCAAGGACATTGGACATGTGACTGACGGAAACTTCGTAACATGAGGCATCCATATACAAAGTATGAAGCATCCAGACCTTCCACCTTCTAAAATATAAAGCTTTTAAGAAGTTAGCTAACGCCGCCGCCGGATCACTATCCCTATGTCGAGCTTTCTGCGACAAAAGTCGCAGGCTCGACAAAAATTCTTGTTTCAAAACAAGGTAATTACGTTTCACTATTCTGTTCATACAACATTCTAGATTATGCTTAACAACCTTTTTTTACAATTTATCATTTCAAAAAATATATGACTACTATGTTTTTTCTGGGAGAAATTTTAATCAATTTCTGCACTAATTACAATATTATATTCAAGAGGCAAATTAAGACTTTTATGAGTAAAACATCAGTTTCATTGTATCTTTTAGTATGACTGGTCCTTTTTTTTAGTTGCTATTAAAGAACATCATCTGCCATTTGCAAATCCTCAAAACTTTTTTTTTTTAAATGAAGGTTTCATGTAAGTGAAATTGCTTCAATGTTATCATGTAAAAGATAAAAGTTGACACAAATTACCAATAGCACTAGTTCTTCAGATAAAATAGGTTTTACAAATAGCTATTAAGCACCCAAAAAATAGTATGGAAATGGACGTACTGTAAGCCTCCCAACAAAACATTTTTGTCAGAGATCTTCCATTTTGATATTTGAAAAGTTGAAAGCTCTATTTCTGGTTGTATTGGGTTTTTGGATTACTCCTCCATTGCCTTATACCTCAATATCTTTATTCATTTTTACTCATATATACCTAACGCATCAATGATGTAGCAAATTTCTGTCGAATGTTTTTCAAATATTTTGATAATTTAGAATAGCTGAAAATTATGAGTACTTGATGAATATATAGACATAAATTTCCAAACTAGCATAGTCAGTAAATAACTTATCAGTATAAAGTAATAAAATAACTGTAGATTTGAATTATAATACATAAAACATAATATTTAATATAAATAATTTCTTTTCAAACTGGTAAAAACTATAAATAACTTAAAATTTGAATATTAAATACAAAAATACTGAAAGGAGATTTAAATTAATATTGTATTTGCCAACCTGTAATTTTTTTTGAATGCCCATTTAAATATCTTGTCTTCCTGTTGTAAATAGAATAAGCGTGACATCTTGCTAGTATTGCATGTAAATAATCAACAACAGTTATATTTTGAAAAAAATACTGAGCCAAATAAACATCAGAAAAACACCACAAAACTACAAAGATGAAATACATTCAATGCAAACAAATATATGCATCCGTGTTGAAGAATGCACTTTGACCTATAATGGTTTACTTTTATAAATTTTGACTTGGATGGAGAGTTGTCTCATTGGCACTCATACCACATCTTCTTATTTCTATATACATATAGGAATTTTTTTAAACTATAAAAGAACACCTATGTGGGAAAAAAAATTACACTAGTTATATCTTTTGTGTTGTACATTAAGGGACAAAGAATTTCGTCTTTAAGATTATTTCTTTTTAAAAAAAAAATGATGAAAATTTCATATTTTGTCTCATATTGGTGATTGGGAAATATTGAGAACATGCAAGTAACACAATAATAATTGCATGAGAGGTGCTGTTCATACAGACACACACAGTGGTAAATCATTTAGTTAGTACTTGCATGTGCTTTATATTAACCGATCCAAAAAATATATTAGTTATGTCTGTCAACAAAAAAAATATGAAATATTCCATATCAAATACTAAGAAAACACTACAATAAGATTTTTTTAGTTTGTTTAAAAGTCTCATTGAAATTCAGTTTATAGTTTAAAGTGAGAAAAAGGTTAAAAGGTATATCTTGGCAAGCAAAAATTGGTTAAAGAAAGACAAGCAACAGCATGGTCAAAAGATAAAAGTAAAAAGTCATACAACACTACATAGAAACCTAAGCTGATATCTTTTCCCTTTTGTTCATATTTCAAACTCAATATTTTGTTTTGGGAAAACCTCAAAAATCATTTGGATAAAAAAAAATAAAGCAGAAAATGGACAACTTCAATAGATACTTTAGATTTTCTGAAAGATTTATTCAAAATTCAATTACTGGATTAGGGGTGGCCGTAGATATATACAAAGAGAAACAATGGACACTATACACACTCCTGCTTCAATAGTTAGAGAAAGGGGGTATAATGATTATAAATATATAAATGGATGGAATCAAGTCATGGACGGAATGTTTTGATATGTTAAAGTCTTATTTGAGATTCAGATTTCAAGCCATCTTCTAGTTATCAACAAATAATTCCTTGTTCGACTTTTTTCTCTGAACCAATACAGGTAATTTTTACCTTTTAATACCCTGGAATGTCAAATGTATTTTGATATGTAAAATTTCAAGAGACTTTTTAAGGACTTTTATAGTTTGTGACTTTTATTAAATCCTAACATAATAGCTTCATATTATACAGCTATCAGAATTAAATCAAATTTAAGATTTTTCAAATCAACAGAAATAATTCTGACTTTGGTACATTATTGTCATCATTTAAACAACTTTTATTATGCAGCTATCATTTTGCCATCTTAAGCAGTATTGTCATGAAAAAAGATCAACAAACATTCTGGCCTCCATGTCAGCTTTAGAATTGAATTTCTCCACTTCTCTGTTTTTGCTGTTTATATATTGCTGTATAAAGTCTTCTAAGCCTACAATATAAATTAAAGAACCTTTAGTGAGCAAGCTAACATACCCCACACACCCATATTTATGGGCAATAGCTTACTGTGGATTCATTTATTTTCGTGGGTACCAATTTTCGTGGATTAAGGAAAACTCACATGTTCGTGGATATTTAATTTCGTGGTTTTGTCAAAGTCTGCATACAGGCCTATAGGAAAATTGTCATTCGTTGAACATTTAATTTCGTGGTTCATCTGCATGTACCCACGAAAACCACGAAAATTGGTATCCAACGAATAATAATGAATCCACAGTATTAAGAGTGATCTAATTTATGGGTATTTTTAGGTATGGTTCTTTCCTGTTATGATTTTAAACAGATACATTGTCTGTCAAAAATCTAATTTTAGTTTCCAAGCCATTTTGTAGTTTAGTGTGACGTCCATTTTCGCTGAACTAGTATACATTATTGTTTAGGGGCCAGCTGAAGATCGCCTCAGGGTGCAGGATTTTCTCGTTGTGTTGTGGTGGCCTTATGCTGTTTTCTGCTCTTTGGTCTGGTTGTTGTCTCTTTGACGCATTCCCCATTTCCATTATCAATTTCACCATTTATAATATTTGATTTAGTAACAGGAAACCGCTTTTAGCACAAATTTGTGTCCATTTTTTGTTAAAGTTAACTACAGTCAATTTTATAATAACAAGTTGAAATAATGAAACCCCCACTTTTACGTGTTCAGTAAACAGGAAGTTGATGAGCCATGGATGTAAAAACACATTAGGCCTGAGACCACAATTAATGACCCTGCTTTTCGTTGTCCATGAATATAGTTCCCTTTAATTAAAGTGTATTTTTTCTTTATTTTTTTTCTTTCATTTTCTCATTCATTTCTTAGTTTTTATGGGGTGGAAATGAAAGAAGAGAGCTGAAATAAATTTTTGGATGTTGCATTTTAACTGATTTTGATATGGAAAGAGTGATTAGGCCAGGTGCAAAAAGGTAATATTTACAGTTTTCAGAACATCTCTTGACTTGTCCATAGGGGTATGCATGTGTTTTGGCTAAATTTGTAAGGTGTAAAAGTGCAATCTTTCTGAATGTTGGATATATTTTTGGACTAGTACTATACATTACACACACAAAAGATTTGACAACAAGACCAGGTGCAATTTTTTTAATGAGACAAAACGTTATAAAGAACTAAAAGAGGAATTTAATTGTGGTCTGTGGCCTTTACATGGTAAAGCATGCTTAGACGGCAGTTGATTCGAAATTTTAGTTTTATTTTAGAATATTATTAAAACTTTTAATAAAGTGACTTATTGCCGGTGAGACAAAAATCTTCAATGTTTTGTAACCAGAAAAATCGTATTGATCTTACAAGGATGAATGTCCTGTTTCTCTCCATCAAAGCTTACAAACTGTGTACCATTATAAAACCATCCTGCAGGTAATGGATCTAAATGATGCTGTGACTGAAATTGAATTAAACTATGTATGTAGGTCATTGTACATGTAGTTTTAAAACATTTGTATCATATATTGTGCATATCAGTTAACAGTGATATTGTAACCACTGGTTTGATACTTCTGTTGTGATGTATTGACAAGGGTTTCACACGCCCATTAGCTAAGTACTTTGGTGTTTATGTCAAAGTATTTTATTTTTCACAAGCAAGTGTGTTATGGAAATCTTGAAATGTTGAGCATTGAATTCCGTAACCATGTTACGAGTCAAATTTTTTGTCATTATTGTTTTCTTTCCAAATATATCTCAAGCATCACTGATGAAATGTGCATCTAGTTTATCAAAATTGTTACTGTTAGATGTCAACATACATAGCTTTTCTCTGTAAAAATCTTTTAAGTACAAATATTACTAATTCAACCTAGGATTCAGTTTTGTGCCTTATGGAAAGTCCTAATAGAGCATGAACTATTTGTAACTAAGTGACTAACTTGTTAAGTTGACAATATTCCATAAATCCCTGTAAATAATGTGAATGAGGCTTACATGAATTTTCTTTATTTCCTCTTTCTTTAAATCTTTTTTCTCTACCAACTTTTTCTTCTGTGGAATCTAAAAAGTGAAAAGTTTGAAGAAAAAATATAACTTGATAAACAGTTCTATCAAATAAAAATCAAAACTATGGATTTATGAATGGCAAATATTATTAAAACAAAGCATAAGTATTGAAACATATGTTATCAGAAAAACAAATATGCTTTTTATTACTGCTGATTGTAGGAGTGTATCTGAAAGTTGGTAACAGCAGCAAATTCCTATAATCTGAATTTTAAACTACGTGTACTTCTGATCAAAACCATCATTCTAGTCCACCTCATTTGTAGAACATTGCTAGTTGCTGTATAAATGAATTTGTTGAGAAAAATTATTTATTCAGCAAACAGCCTTTCAAAGGTTTTTTTTTAAAATAGTCTACCTAGGAAAAACCATAGCCGTTTTATTTCCATAAAGGAGATCACATATCTAATTGATGATCTTCAAAAAATGTTGTATCCCATGGAAAATGAGGAGCAACCTTATAGCTCTTTCATTCTTTCTTGAAACTGTCATGATTCTGTTCTGAGCTATTTTGATGGGACACAATCTATGAGAAATATTGAACTATTTTAAGATGTAATACTCAAAATTGACAACAACACTTCAAATGGTCTGCAATTTTATTTGCTATGGTCTACATGTTTCGCCTGCAAGACAGGCGTCATCAGGACACTTTGACATACAGAAATACAATGTCATGTATCATATAAAAGTAAAACGAACTCAATTTACATTGTAAACAAACTTTATTTTTCTATATTTATCTTATCTATTTATAACTCTGTATTGCTACTTTCACTTTTCACTGTTTCTCTCACCTTGACAACGTCAAATTAAATGTACCACTTTGAGTACTTCAGTAATTAATTTCTGTATGCAAATTGTCCTGATGACACCTGTCTTGCAGGCGAAACATGTAGACCATAGCAAATAAAATTGCAGACCATTTGAAGTGTTGTTGTCAATTTTGAGTATTATTTAAATGTTGCATTCATTTGCATAATTTGACAACCCTGCATACCAAGGTATCCACTTCAGGGACTCTATTGAAATGATTCACACAGGCGTTGGTTCACCAAACGGAGTTTATTTTAAGAAGTAATACCTGTTTAGCACATGCTCTAAGCCAGTCTTTCAGGGCTTTCTCTTGTAGATTACATCCTGTGAATGACATGAAGTATTGATGATGTCCATCACCATTCTGTAACCCTATATGTCCATTAGAGACAATAGATAGGGAATCAGTCAATGTAGCATACTTTACTTCTGTTGTTTGTGAAGAGTCTATAAAAAAACAATACAAAGTCAGATTTAGATTTATAATATTAGCATTTATTGGTGTAAATGATATTCATATGTTTCTCTATCCATGAAAAAGGTCTTTACATTGTATTTACATTGTGTCATAGGTCAAATTTATTTGTTCAATGTATGTTCAATGGTGTTAATATGCCCTTTGATTGAGTTAAGCTATTTCAGTTGATATTTTATAGTGTGTCTTTCTATGTTGTGATGTTACACTATTGTTTCAGAAAAAGGGTGAAGGTTTGGTACCATTAAAACGTTTAAACCCGCTGCATTTGTTTGCACCTGTCCTAAGTCAGGAATCTGATGTTCAGTAGTTGTCGTTTGTTGATGTGGTTCACAAGTGTTTCTCGTTTTTTATATAGATTAGACCGTTGGTTTTCCCGTTTGAATGGTTTTACACTAGTAATTTTTTGGGGCCCTTTATAGCTTACTGTTCGGTGTGAGCCAAGGCTCCGTGTTGAAGACCGTACTGTGACCTATAATGGTTTACTTTTATAAATTTTGACTTGGATGGAGAGTTGTCTCATTGGCACTCATACCACATCTTCTTATATCTACTTTCAGTCATTAATTACTCTCTTGTGTAGTACAATAGGGCTTGTTATGATTTTACCTGATAGAATTATAAGTTTCCGACGACTTTTTCAAAAGTTCAATGAAAGTGGCATGATATACAATTTCTCTTAAATGTTTATCATACTGAAGAAATTAAAGTGCTGTTTAACATTGTCTGATACAAGTTATGTTAATAAATAGTTCAATGATTGCCAGACTACAGTTGTTTTTATTTTAAATAACACTTTATATCTTACCACCAAACTGGGACTGACCATCAACAAAGTAAACATTGCCTTCAAATGGATATGGTTTTAATGAAGACTTCAACTCTGTAATATAAAAATGTATGATAACAATAGATTTAAGTATTTCTATTTGTAATGTACAAAAATAGATTGATTCTGCAAAACAATAATAAAACGCTGCAATGATCTTAGGAATGTGTCTACCCAGAATATTTCTTCATCACCAAATTTTTAGGTTCCTTTTTAAAACACAGACCTTCATTTTTTTAAATTTTCTATGCTATTTGCTGTTTAATGTACAAATTCATAAAAGTGCAGAAAGAAAGGAATGTAAAAAGAGTCAACAAACAACCAACAGACTCATACAGAGAAAATGGCATAATTCTTTAATATATAAGATCATTAACATATTATGGAGAGAAGTGACTGGCAGTAAGCAAGATTTACCTCTTAATCTGTTGATAAGTAGCTGTCTTTCTAATGGTCTTTTAAATTTGAGCACACAGTTTTGCAGGACTATTGATGGTGGATAGTTCTTTTGAAGTCCTAAGGACCTACAAAATAATAAGGGCACAATTGTTTTCCATACATATCTTTAATAGTAAAGCAAGCCACAAAAAGTGTTACATTTAGGTCATATATTGTTTTGTTATATGCAGAACAAATTGCTTTGTCTCCTTCAACATGTATGCCCATGTAGGACAAAAATTCTTGATGAGAAAACATCAGATTTAACACTGTTATCATTGTTTGCTACAATTATAAAGTTTTTACTTGATCATGGGTCTTTGTGAAATCAATCACACATGACAATTAAAGAACCTTAGTGAGCGCGCTCACATACCCCGCGCCCCCACATTGTCACTGGAGAAATAAAATAACTGTAAGAAAAAAAAATTGTATAAGAAAAAAAAATTGAATCATATATTCCTGTCGATATGCACATCTACATAGTATGTCCTTATTATCTACAAAGTTTCATGAAATTCTGTTGTGTGGTTTCAGAGGAGTTGCGATAACAAACTGTTGCAGAGGTATATTGAAGCAAATAAGTTCAAAGGGGCGTAACTCCTAGAAAAAAAATTGAATCATAATTTCCTGTCGATATGCACATCTACCTAGTATGTCCTTATTATCTACAAAGTTTCATGAAATTCTGTTGTGTGGTTTCAGAGGAGTTGCGATGACAAATGGTTGCAGAGGTATATTGAAGCAAATAAGTTCAAAGGGGCGTAACTCCTAGAAAAAAATTGAATCATAATTTCCTGTCGATATGCACATCTACATAGTATGTCCTTATGATCTACAAAGTTTCATGAAATTCTGTTGTGTGGTTTCAGAGGAGTTGCGATGACAAACTGTTGCAGAGGTATATTGAAGCAAATAAGTTCAAAGGGATGTAACTCCTAGAAAAAAAATTGAATCGTAATTTTCTGTCGATATGCACATCTACGTAGTATGTCCTTATTATCTGAAAAGTTTCATGAAATTCTGTTGTGTGGTTTGAGAGGAGTTGAGATGACAAACTGTTGCAGTAGTACATTAAAGTAAATAAGTTCAAAGGGGCGTAACTCCTAGAAAAAAAATTGAATCGTTATTTCCTGTCGATATGCACAACTACATAGTATGTCCTTATTATCTAAAAAGGTTTCGTGAAATTCTGTTGTGTGGTTTGAGAGGAGTTGCGATGACAAGAAACAGGACTGACGGACTGACGGGTCAAAAACATTATACCCTCCGCAACTCGTTGCGTGGGGTATAATAAGAATTACTGAATCAAATTCAATACAAAAATGTGGTATCCAATATATCCACTACTACTAGGGGGTGTTTAACGACCTTGACTACCCATTATGACCGTTAGAAAAAGAAGTGAACAATTACAGGTCACCATAAAGATTATATAGACAGGCAGCCTCAATGATTCTCGAGTTTTAACATACTACAAGATAAGAAGTCTGCCATGTATCTTGGACCACTGAGTTCACTACGAACAGACATACAGACAAGGTGACTACAATATTGCCCCCACTACTAAATTGTGAGTATAATAATAATAATCTAGATTTGACTTTTGACAATATCTTACCATCCTGGATACAACAGGTGTCGAGCTCTGACTTTTGACTTTTCCATAAAGGCTGTTTCAGACAACACTGCATCTATATCCATACTTCTGTTAAAAAAAAATAATTATCTTAAAATAACATGGTTTGGTTTGATCAATTGCAAGTTATTAAAGAAATGAAATCTTACCCTTCTGAATCATTCAACTATTTAATGAAGTTCAAGGTCATCTAAGTTTGTCACTTAATATAATGCATCAACTAACAAGAGATCACTCCTCTTTGATTTTCCAGGCAAAACTTGCTCAAAGCCAAACATGGGTTAAATGAATGTCGAGGTCACCTTATTTTAGTTTGGAGATGATTTGTAATTTGACATCTGGACCTTCACACAAAACATAACCAGGATGGATGAAAGAAAAACAAGCTCTGGTTTGTAGTTGCTGAGAAAATGACATAAATGTGTTATGAACAGACAAACGCACATACTGACAAGTGAAGTAGTGTAAGTAGTGTACTGCCTCCTTGGAATGTGGGTTAAAAAAGATGATTAAATGTGTAAATTTTTTATATTCAAGATCATATCTAAGGAAAAACAGGGCTCTTAAAATATTGTGCACAATCAGACGGATTGACAAAGTAAATCTTTGATGTGGGACCCTTATCTTATACTGTGGATTCATTATTATTCGTTGGATACCAATTTTCGTGGGTTTCGTGGATACAGGTGAACCACGAATTCAAATGTTCAACGAATAACATATTTTCAATAGGCTTTGTATACAGAGATTGGTAAAACCACGAAATTAAATATCCACTAATATGAAAGTTTTCAGCAAACCACGAAAATTGATACCCACGAAAATAAATGAATCCACAGTATTAAAAGCTTTATAAAATTATTTCAAAATATATACCTTGTTATCTCCCCTTTGTCTGCTAAAAAGAATGATACATCTGAGTTTACAGATCTGATTAATTTCTGTAGGTCATCTAATGCTGAATTCTGTAATAGATAACAACTACATACAAGATCTGAATCAGCTACAGAGTTGGATAAGAAATAAGTCACAAGTGCAATAAAAAAATTCCAGCATTGACCAAAATAATCGACAAAAATTGATTACAAAAATAGTGAAAATCAGAAAAAACCAACACCTATACATATTCACATACATGTGACAGAGTTGTCAAGTCATAACTGGAGATTTGAAAATTTTCAGCTGGAGTTTGGGCCTCATAACTGGAGATTTTTTATCAACATATTTATAGACGTTTTCAGTGTTCATTTTGATGATAAAGCTACATATTCCCCCTTTTTTAAGATAACAGTATTACTATTAATGTATTCTCTCTGTATTGTTACCATGTGAAATATTTGTCATCACTAAGCTTTAGTATTTGTATGTGATATTTTTCCTTTCCTCATCTTTGTCATCATTAATGTGTTTCTCAGTTCTATCATCCAATAATTTTTTATGTGTTTCACAGTGTTATTCCATTTTTGTAGATTGCCAGATTTAGCATAAACACTCACTCAGACATTTCTGATGATGGGGTTTTTTAACGGGGTTATACAGTTGTGCTCTGTACACAGGGTGGAACAAGATTGCATAGCTAAAGTTTCCTAACCAACTTCTTCATACATAGTTCTCCTTAGTTAGTGCAGCATATCAATATAATTTTGCACTTAAAAAGCACAGTTGTTTTACACTTTGATATACGTGATATAATGTTTGCTACATATAACTATTTACAAATGTTACTCACATTAATTGATGTTGATGAGGTAAATAATATGAAGTTGACCCAACCTTGAGCACATTGATTTAACAACACTGGAAATGTCATTCTGTAAAATGTAAAACAAATAATCATATTTAATACATTATTCTATTGTTTTAGTTTCTATCAGGTTACATTTTCTTAATTCTGATACAGTTTGATTATAAATAATATGGACTTCACTTCCACTAACTTATTTTTCTATAAACCTATTTATTAAGTTTTTAAACATATATATATGAACAAATATGATCCTCAACATGATCTCAGCCATTATTGAGTTATTATTTCTATAAAAACTCATATCAACCTCTAACATATGATTACTATTATAAAATACATAAAAGACAGTGTGTATAGTAAAAACTCATATCAACCTCTAACATATGATTACTATTATAAAATACATAAAAGACAGTGTGTATAGCACACGCATTATTTTTATATACAATATATTCACAGCCTAATCACACTTCAAAGAAATGGTTTATCAAATGTAACTTCAAACTTAAAATTATTTAAACATCTTTATTTCATATAACATATCAATTATAAAAGATTTAGCACCAAATGTTAATCTTTTTTTCTCAATTATGAAAGTATTTTCCAGTCATACACCTGGCTAAATTTAGCCAAGTTTAAAACCTAAATCGAATTAACTAGATATCATTGAGATGGGAGCCATCTCTGTGGGCCCCGCTGTGAATAATGTGTGGTAAAAAATTTGTATCTTTATCATTGGACATGGGGTTGTCAACTGAAACCGAAGTTTATGACCTTGACCTTTGACCTAGGAAGTTGTACATACATTATGACACACCCTCTGGTGTTGGTTTATATACATGACAAATATAAACTTTGAAATCATAACAGTTCTCAAGATATAGAGCGGACACGGTCTTTACCATTGAACATGGGGTTGTCAACTAAAACCAAAGTTTTTGACCTTGACCTTTGACCTAGGAAGTTGTACATACATTATGACACACCCTCTGGTGTTGGTTAATATACATGTCAAGTATAAACTTTGAAATCATAACGGTTTTCTAGATATAGAGCGGACACAATTTGTTACGGACGGACGGACAGACTGACGGAGGGACAGACTGATCACTATAGGGCGTCCGCCATTCGGCGGGGCCCTAATTAATGAATAATAATTTATGCAAAAACTTACCTATGAGTTATGAAGGAATGCATAGGATCTATACACACAGTGACAGCACCTACAAAATTACAAGTTTACAACTATTTCTAACAGCTAAACTATGAATAAAGGGAGATAAGAGGGAAATGTCAACAAGGAAGCTACTCCAGGGCACAAAAAAAACTCAAAAGACATCTTGTCTAACATACTTTCTTCAACACTAGAATTTGATATGCTTTATGGAGCTTTTATTTGAATATGAAAAGATGAGTTCTGAAAATTGATAAAACTAAGAAAACTAGAGAAGATATCAAATTTATTTAGATCGATTTTTTACAGTCAATTAATTTGCTTCCTTCTTATATTGCAGTTTTTTCTAAAAAAGGCAAGTCTAGCTTTGAACAAAATTCACCACTATACCACAACTATTAAGGCTGTCAGAAGACAGCTTTACATATGCCTTATTATTATTTCTAGTCTGTTTTTCAGTTGTGATTTTTCACAATTGCATGACTATTTTGAGTTTTAAATAATTGTTTTTGAGATTTTTCTTTTAGTACTTTTTCCTGTTAGCACCTGCTGCATATGTCAATTTTATTGCAATACTCGTTTCCTTTTTATATTTATGTGTTCTATATCTATCTCTTATGATTGTGACATAACAATGTACATACCAATATTAAGTTTCTGTCTGACTTGTAAGTCAGGATGATTCTTAATGGCAAGAATAACATCATAAACATCCATTGACCTTAAAAGTAAAGTACAATAATATACTGAAGTTTACCTATTCTAACATCGGACTCAGATTTCTTTTTGAACTGAGTTTTACTGTGGGTTTTGGTGTTTGTTTATTCCACATTGGCTAGAGGTATGGGGGGAGGGTTGAGATCTCACAAAACATGTTTAATCCCACCGCATTTTATGGCTGTCTTAAGTCAGGAACCTCTAGCTTTTGTAAGTTATGTGTGTTTTTTTTTTATTGGTTCATTTGTATGTTTTAGAGTTTAGTGTGGAGTCCATTTGCTTAACTAGTATACATCATTTTTCAGGGCCAGCGGATTTTCTCGCTGCGTTGAAAACCAATTGGTGGCCTTGGGCTGTTTTTGGTTGGGTTGTTGTCTCTTTGACACATCCTCTGTTTCCATTCTCTATTCTATTTTGTTTGCTAACCATCTTATGATATTCTATGTAACATCAATTTGAAGACTATACCATTTAACTCATATCTTGTTTTTTCCCTGAATTTCACAATACCTAAGACCTAATTTTACAACTACATAAGAAGAATGAAGTTATCTTGTTTGTTTAATATGAGTTGTTTTCATTATCTATCAATCTGATACAAGACTGTTGAGGCTGAAATGTTAATGATTACTTTATAATTATAATTCTGACAATGTTTTGACTATAAATTAGCAAAGATATCTTGTGTTATGAATACTTACCCTGGTGTTACTAAAAGAACTCTAGATTTGTGTTTTGGGTCTGTCATTGATGATCTGTTTTTATGTGACATACATACTTACCCTGGTGTTACTAAGAGAACTCTAGACTTGTGTTTTGGGTCTGTCATTGATGATCGGTTTCTATGTGCTAATGACAGACTTTTCAGTGATTGGTTAAGCTGCTGAGGTATGAATGGTGTGGACTGTGATAAATCTTGCTGTAAAACTGTCCAACTACAAAAAAAAAATCAATTAAAGTCTCTTGATGTGCTATTTAAAGAATTAAACTACTGTAAATTCAGAAATTATTGCGATGTTTTTATTATTGCGAAAAATGCGACAGGGTTATAATCGCAATAATTTAAACTCGCATTTTGAAATTTTTTATATGAATTAAACAGGATTTTTCTCAATATCGCAAAAATTAAAATCGCATTTTAGTCTAAAACGACAAAATCGCAATAATAAATGCACGCAATAATTTCTGAATTTACAGTATTGTTTTATTCTTTATTCATAAAATCATTTTACAGAATAAAGGTATTTAGACTTCATGCACCATAAATTTCTTTAATTGTGCACTCATTCACAAGTTTATTCAGCAAGCATTATAAAAACAATGTGATATGATTGCCAATGAGACAACTCTCCAATAGAAACCAAATGATGTAGAAGGTTAGCAATGCATTTCTTTACTACTAAAGGTCACTAAGGCAAATAAGTATTATTCTACATGCAAAGTTAGAATTAAAACATTTTCAATACCTTATTACATTAACCTGATAACTGACATGTTAGGCTATTCTTTTTTTTTTTTATCTTTTTGGTATCTTGAAGAAAGTAAAATGGTAATTTTTGCCCCTTTTAATTAATTGTATGTGTCATAGCTTTATTTCTTAAAAGTAAGTATCAAAACAATTCGGTTTCAATGCCCAAATTTTTAAAGATGAAAGAACTTATATATTCAGCAAAATTTTACTTATAGCAACTTCCTCTTTTAATGTTTTCAAAGTTTATATATTCAACGTGAAGGGTATAGCTGCAATCTGTGTATACATTTGCCGACAGAATTTCCTGTGCAGATATTTACCTATATCTATCTTTGGTGATTTTGACTAGAGTATTACAAAGATTTTCTTTATGGCTTCCATCAATACCAGCTATAATGTTAATGATAATCTGAAATACAACAGTTAAAAGTTTCTTAATGTAATACAATACTTAATTTTCAAGGTTAATGTATATATTTTTTGAACACTTCAAAAAATTTTAATTACAAAAATGTACCTGTAAAATTGATCAGAAATTTTATAGGATTCATAAATTTGTTGATTTAAAAAGGATTTCAGAAACATTCTACATAATTCTGGAAGAATGTAATAAAATTGAAATGAGTTTTTAAATGGCACTAGAGGTCAAGAAGAAATCATGACAAATGTATGACTGGCACATTGTAATTACTGTCTGAAGCATACTTCAATATATTTGTTTAGGGGCCAGCTGAAGGACGCCTCCGGGTGCGGGAATTTCTCGCTGCATTGAAGACCTGTTGGTGACCTTCTGCTGTTGTCTGTTCTATGGTCGGGTTGTTGTCTCTTTGACACATTCCCCATTTCCATTCTCAATTTTATTCAAACATTGCTAGTAATAATCCAGCTAATCTCTCCATTTATACAGAGACAGTTTTCTATACCAACTTAGTTCTATTTATGAAAACAATTCTCATTTATTACAGGGGTTATCTTTTATTTCCTTTAATATTTTATTTATGTATAGGACCTATCTGACATATGTTTTAGGCATTTGTAATGTTGATAGTAGTGATGGAAACTTTTTTTTACATTAGAGTTGTTTCTCTTAAACCAATAGTGTTATTTTTGTTTATATGTCTAATAGGAGATTAAATTTAATATTGACCTGATCTGTTTCTGATGATAGAACTTCAAATGTTCCACTGGACTCAGACAATTCAGCCTCCCTATTTACTACCAGTGACAAATATTTCTCTTCAAATGGCACATTCCCGGCACTCCCAGCAGAGAAATGATACAAAAATCTGAAAAAGCACACAAAACATAGTCATTAAAATGTAAATCAATTTGAAACATTACTAACTATTTTTTTCAGTGTTATATGTTATTTAAGTTTCAATACTTCATTCCTTTTAATTTTCAAAATCTTCTACTAGCAAGAACAGATAGAATTATTACTAAATATTTTATTCCCATTAAAGTGTCAGGAATCTAAAAACAGTATTTTTTTATTGAAAGCCAGTGAAGTTCTGTAATATCAGGTATAGCTGACCCATATGTGATATTGAAAATTGTATGCATACTCAACAATCTTAGGTACTTTTTGTTGTTCTGTCAGCAAGTTAAACATTTAAATAAGTTTGGTACCTGTCAATATTTTGTAGTGATGCTGTTGCCTTCCTAAATCCTGTCACGGTTTTTGTTGTATTGCTGTAGATATTCTGTAATACTTCATGTCTACAAAATAGTCATGAAACCATTTAAAGCACAGAAAAAAGAAAAGTTTCATAGATTAAAATTATTTTTTTCCTGGTTAGAACTGGTATCTTAGTAATCTCAATATGTACCAAGTTTGTTCATATTTTTATTGTAAGATACAATATGAAAATTTCTGATTAGTTATTGTCTTTCAGGAAGAACAGCTAGAAAAACAAAGGATATGGGGTATTTATTATAAATAAAGTTTTTTTAAAAGAGAATCAAAATTTTAACATGAAAGCACATTGAGCTGCCAGCTTAAACAGAAGTAGAACAGTATTTCACAAACCAATTCATCCCTAGAACAATACTGTAGTGACCAGTTATACCTTCCTCATTAAAAAAGCGTAAAATAAAAATTCTAGAATTTAGTTTCAAGTTTTCAGGGTTTCAGTCAATTTCAAAATTCATATCCTACTGAATAAATTTGAAAACTTTAAGAAAGATAAAATGTACTGACTCCACTTACATTTGAGTAAAGCATTCAGGTAGTTCCTGTATCTTTATGACATCTGGCAACTCAGATTCTTTCCTCCATTCAGGTAATACCTGAAAAGAAAATTATCTTTTAATAATTTAATTTTGGATGCAACACATCCTCCGATTGGCTGAAAGTTTTTTTGTCTATCAGCTTATAGACATAATTTTGTCGTGTGACCGTGACGTCATTAACGTTTTTTCATGATTTAAAAAATGGAATTTAGAATTAAATTATAAGGAATGACTGTAATATTTGTTCTGTTATTTGAAATAACCTCAAAAATGTGGTACACACTTTTAAATAACCCGCTATGCGGGTTATTCAATGTGCACCACATTTTTGATGCTATTTCTTCATAGACGGAAAAAAATATTACAGTCATTCCTTAAATATGTTATATTGTTATCATGATTTTTTTACCTCATAGTTTCCATAAACTAGCAATGTTTCAAGTTTTATAAGATGTCTAGTTCCTGTTTCAGTTTTCCCCACTTTAATTACTTCATTACTTTTACATCCAGTTATTTGACATTTGATCTTGAAATATTCCCACTTTGGAATTGAATTGTATTGGATTTATGCTGTCAAAATTTTTTAACCATACAAACAAAACATAGCTGATGCAAAAATGTGTTGATATATTTCCGTACAAGGGTACAATCTAATTGTTGAATTCTTCAGTTGGTCATATTTCTAATGTTTCAAAATGCAAGTTTTCTACAATTGAAGTGGATTTCATTCTTTATCCCGCCAAAAGTGGACATCTTCATTTATAGTGATAATTCATTTTCTTTACAACTGCACAAATCCCAGCTCAACTGGAGTATAGGGAACAAGATTTTTTCGGGAATATTACAATTTATATAAATTTATACTCCATTTTGTAGTAACAGATAAAACAAATACAGATATTAAAAAATTAACTGAAACATTGACAGGTTGACATATTTACATATTGACTCACTAACACGACTGATCAACATATTGACACATTGGCAAATGGACACATTGACACACTGTAAGATCGAAATATTGAATATGCACTAAAAAGGTCTTTCCATAGCAAACAAGAAAATACATGATTTCTGAGTGGAGATGAAAATCTTCTTAAGTAAATTATTTCAGGTAAAAGGTCAAGCCAGAGGTAATTTTCAAGGTTCACAACACATCATCTAGAGATGGTGCAACCATGTAAAAAATATCATAAACCTTTGTCAAAGGATAAAAAAGTTATGTTTTGGACACAAAATAGTAAAAAAATAAATCATCTATTTTGACCCTAAGATCAAAGGTCAAGATCAAGATCAAGTGAAAGTCATCTTGAAACAAGACACACTTCTCATATGGTAATTCACTTTCATATCAAATATCAAAAGTCAATGTCATAAAGATAAGACAAGTTTGTTTGAGAACCAAAAGAAGAAGAAATACTCCTAACCTTTGTAGAAGGGGAGACATAACTACTGATCATGCTGATGATAAACTCTATAAACAATCGATTGTCTTAATTTTTAACTACATATATCTAGTACTTACAACAGAATACATGTGTTTATATGCTTTAGACTTTGGATTGAAGGAAACTAATATCAAGTTATCATTGGAAACTAAATAAGAAGGTAATGTTGATTTCATGGTAATCTTGATCTCTATCAGTAATATGGCAACTGATCTAGAATTGTCCTGAAAAATAAACAAAAATTTCTCATCAACACAATTTAAATCATAGTTTAAAAGTGTTTATCAACTATGGACTTTTGATGAGGTCAATACTTTACATATGGACCTGTTCTGATTATGTTGATTGAGGACGAATGTCAATATCATCTAACAGGTCCATATAACATATTGACTGAGTCAATAATACTTCACCATATGTAACATTGACTAATATGGCATTTCATCTTAATCTCAGAATCAAAATAGCAAGTATCAGAATTTTTAAGTTACTAAGTAAAGTCTGTTTATTTTAATAATTTCTATGAAGAATGCTCTCTATTACAGTGATTAAAAGTATGGCTAAAAAAGTCTGATAAATTTCATCAGTACAGATTATATTAACAAGATGGGACATATACAAAATAACTTTCACCTCTAACCTATCAAATCCAATCCTATAGGTGATAATACATTTCAAGAGCTGTAAATTGATGATCAACATTCAAATTGTTGCAAGTGTATATCACAGCTGATAGTTCATACATCTTTGATTCTAGAGATATTAATTTTACTAATGTCATGATTCAGATCTTAAACTATGAACAATATTGCCATGTTGTTGTCAAACATTCTTAGCCGCCAATATTTGTAAAGCAAGAAAAACTTAAAATGAGATATAACAAAATGATGAAGCCAATTATCAACTACACAGTATGACCAAACATTTTACAATTATAAGAGACATGTTTCACCTGAATTGTTGATTTCAACTGAATAATTTGTTGACAATTGATAAGATCAACTTACCAGTGGTCCAACAAGTAAATTGCTGGTACAAGCACTGCAAAGAGTTTTATATATATCAAGAACCTAACACTGAAGATGGACTGGTTGGACCAGAGAAAACAAAACATTAATGATTAGACCGGTTGGACCAGAGGAATAAACCATAAATGACTGGACTGGTTATACCAGAGGAATAAAACATAAATGACTGGACTGGTTGGACCACAGGAATAAAACATAAATGACTGGACTAGTTGGACCAGAGGAATAAAACATAAATGACTGGACTGGTTATACCAGAGGAATAAAACATAAATGACTGGACTGGTTATACCAGAGGAATAAAACATAAATGACTGGACTGGTTGGACCAGAGGAATAAAACATAAATGACTGGACTGGTTATACCAGAGGAATAAAACATAAATGACTGGACTGGTTGGACCAGAGGAATAAAACATAAATGACTGGACTGGTTGGACCACAGGAATAAAACATAAATGACTGGACTGGTTATACCAGTGGAATAAAACATAAATGACTGGACTGGTTGGACCAGAGGAATAAAACATAAATGACTGGACTAGTTGGACCAGAGGAATAAAACATAAATGACTGGACTGGTTGGACCAGAGGAATTAAACATAAATGACTGGACTGGTTATACCAGTGGAATAAAACATAAATGACTGGACTGGTTGGACCACAGGAATAAAACATAAATGACTGTACTGGTTGGACCAGAGAAAACAAATCAATAATGATTAGACTGGTTGAACGTTAAACATTCATCATACTTACATCATCAAAGAACTGTAGAGATTTGATAATACTGTTATCTAATATCACTGCACCGGTTTGTGGACAAAATAATACTATCTTATGTTGATACATAAATAAACTTGCTGAAAATACAAGTTTTTTTTTATTTAGAAATTATTAATCCAAATGGATTTATTATCAATTATCATAATAAATTATCATTAATTCAATATTTAATGGTATCATTTTAATGCAAAAAATTAATCGGACCACAATGTATATTTGTACTTTGTACTATGAAATTTAGTTTACCTTATTAAATTCTGATCTGTTCTAGGCAGCTTTCACCAACTTAAATATATATACTTTATAAAAACATTTTCACATTCAATTTTTTTATTCTGCAAATATTCAAGAAAGATTTCAACTGCAAAGATCTAACAAAAACAAACATCCTTTTCAGTATTTTCTGTATTTTTTACGAAATAAAATTGAAGCCTGTAAAATTTTCTTGATCTACTTGTATGTTATGTTTATGTTTGAATAAGGAATGTAACCTATCTGGTTTCAAATATTTAATGTTGTTCCTACTAGCTACTTTCTTACCTTCTAATGGTGGCTGACAGACGTTTCTATGACTACCAACGTGAACAGATTCTCCAGAAATCAGTACTGATCCATACCCTTCATTCTTCATGTTTTTTAGATTTTCCTCTAATATGGTTACCTCATCTTTCCCTTTATCCCTTACCTATCATTTATAAAACAAGAACTGAAATTAGTTTTATTGAGAAGTACCCATTGTTTTATTTTATTTAATTTTTCAAGGATTGAATATGATATCTGATGGATTTTGATATTGGGTTTCCCTAACTACCATTATTTTTTTTGGTCTTCATGCTGTTCTGAAATATAATTGCCCTGCTTTCTTTTCTTGTGTTTGTAATATATAAATGTAACTGAAATTTGGTATATTTCTCATTCTGACTTAAAGGCGTTAGTTATATATAAACATAACTGAAGTTTGGTATTTTTCTCATACTGACTAAAACAGAGCCTAGCTATTTAAATTCATTCAACTTTACAGATACAGATCAAGCCTACAATCTAGGTATGTGTTTTTTTCTTGCAGACCAAGTCTGTCATCTAGGTATGTGTTTTGTATTTGCAGTCCAAGCCTGCCATCTAGATATGTTTTTGACTTGCAGACCAAGCCCACCCTCTAGGTATGTGCTTTATACTTGTAGACCAAGCCTGCCCTCTAGGTGTGTGTTTTGTACTCGCAGACCAAGCCTGTTCTCTAGTTTTTGTTTTGTACTTGCAGACCAAGCCTGCCATCTAGGTATGTGTTTTTTTTTTTTGCAGTCCAAGCCTGCCCTTTAGGTTTGTTTTTTGTACTTGCAGACCAAGTCTGCCCTCTAGGTATGTGTTTTGTGGTTACAAACTAAGTCTGCCCTCTGGATATGTGGTTTGTACTTGCAGACCAAGCCTGCCCTCTAGGTATGTGTTTTGTACTTGCAGACCAAGCCTGTCCTCTAAGTATGTGTTTTGTACTTGAGACTAAGTCTGCCCTCTAGATATTTGTTTTGTACTTAGTCCAAGTCTGCCCTCTAGGATATGTGTTTTGTACTTGCAGACCAAGCCTGCCATCTAGGATATGTGTTTTGTACTTGCAGACCAAGCCATTTAGGTATACATGTGGTACTTTTATTCTGGAATTGAGTTATACATTAAGCACTTCATGGACAAATGTTATATTTAGGTAGAAGTTTATAACTCTTGACCAAGCCTTCTATCTAAATATGAGTATTGCACTTCTAGCCAAAGCCTGATATTAACATATGTGTTTTGTACTTACCGACCAAGCCAAGTATTTTGGTATTTGTCCAGTTAGATTTAAAACTTCATAATCTCTGGCAATGGTTCCATCTAAAATACACAGGCATATGGTATTATATTATCAGGTAAACCATACAAATAGATATAGATTAACTGGATATGTATTGTTCAAGCAAACTCAGAAAAAGATTGTCTTTTTTTTAACTTGTAACAAAATTAAATGCTTGCAAAAATTAAAATGAAAAGTTACAACATGTTAAAGTGTATCAATACTTGGAAATATCATATCATACTCTAGTTAACTAACAAATAAGTTTTTCAACTTTGATGGGTGTGTACCTAAAAATTCATATCTGAAAGTAGATCAATACATATGTATATACACTTTCTTACCATCCTTTTGAACCTGAATGACAGAGTCTATGAACACATCAGAGTACAGCAAAGAACCTAATATTTTTGCTGGATTTCTATAACTAGGAATATCTGTCAAACTGATACTGGCTGTCTTAACTCTCAATACATGTTCTCCATCTGGTAACTGACATGATCTGTAAAGAGCCATTACACATTCATCTAGTTGTTATATAGAGCAATCATTCATGATTTGATCACAGAATTAAATAAAGCAGATTAAATCTTCAACTGTGAATTGTAAAGCTTACAATACTAATCATTTTACTAAAATCAGTAAACAAAATTTCTTTCATTTTGATATAACTGAGTGAATATTATTTTTAACAGGTGAACCCCAGTGCTCCAGAAGGATTAGATGTACCACTTGTGACACCCATCACCTTATCCATGCTTAAACCTGATAAGTAATAGTCTGTTCCAGTAGGATTAGGTGTACCACTTGTGACACCCATCACCTTATCCATGCTTAAACCTGATAAGCTATAGTCTTTTCCAGAAGGATTAGGTGTACCACTTGTGACACCCATCACCTTATCCATGCTTCAACCTGATAAGTTATATAATTATAGTCTAAATACTTCATAATCCTTTGACTGCCTCGTTGATCTCATGGTAGCGTGTTCGCCTCAATGAGGGAAGGCGTGGGTTCAAACCCCGCCATGTCAAACCCAAAGACTTTAAAATTGGTATTTGATGCTTCTCCCCTAAGCACGCGGCATTGAGGAGTAAGAGCAAAGCCTGGTCGGCTCGGAGTCAGAATAATGTGTCAGGGTAAGGTGACATGTCTTCCTGTGGACTGTTACCTTGTGAACTAGCACGTTAAAAATCCAGCTCAGTGTGTCGGTCTAATACAAAGCAGGGTAAATATTCGTATTACATTAACCTGTTCTCGTCCTGAATATGCATATTAATTTGCTGCTGGACATTAAGCAGCCATCCATCATCATTATCATAATCCTTTGCAATGGTTCCATCTAGTGGTTAAATGGTAGTCTAGTCCTAAAAACTCACAAAATTCAAAGCTGTAGAAATCAAAAAATAAACCTTTCATTATCCATTGACTTCATCAAAGAACCATGATAAAGACAGGTCTAAATGTATTTACTTTGCTTATTGCTACTTGACAGGATATAGCACTGAGTACCCAAAAGTTAATTGTAACAATAACCAAATAGTTTTCCTAAACAAAAGCCTTAATTTTACTACTTACTGTCCTGAATTATCATGAGCTTCTAATGTAAATATAATATTAGACCTGAAAATAAAAATAAATCACATTAATACATCCATAATTTAATGATGGTGTTAGCATGTTCATATATATGATACCTTCTGTTCCAATTTAAAATCAAGATATTTGTTCCATTTACTCATGTTGAAGATGTCCTACAAGAATAAATTTTCTTCAAGTATATCTTCATATTGGGTTTTACAGATGAGTGAAGTTGCATGTGACGTTTTGGAGGAGTTGTAGATGGACTAACAGAGCTGTTCTTGTGTACCTCTAAGACATTATATGAGGGGATTACACAGTCCTAGATTCTTATTCTTGCGTGCCAACATTCACCACATGCTCATTTGTTTACAAATTTAAGGTAAACATACATTATTATATAGTTTTCAGAGTGGAAACAATACTATGGATTCTTTATACTTCCTAGGGTACCAATTATCCTGGATTAAGTATGTAAAGGGAAGCAATGGATTCTTTATACTTCCTCAGGTACCAATTACCCTGGATTAAGTATGTAAAGGGAAGCAATTAATTCTTTATACTTCCTAGGATACAAATTATCCTGGATTAAGTATGTAAAGGGAAGCAATGGATTCTTTATACTTCCTAGGATACAAATTATCCTGGATTAAGTATGTAAAGGGAAGCAATGGATTCTTTATACTTCCTCAGGTACCAATTACCCTGGATTAAGTATGTAAAGGGAAGCAATTAATTCTTTATACTTCCTAGGATACAAATTATCCTGGATTAAGTATGTAAAGGGAAGCAATGGATTCTTTATACATCCTAGGTTACCAATTATCCTGGATTAAGTATGTAAAGGGAAGCAATGGATTCTTTATACTTCCTAGGATACAAATTATCCTGGATTAAGTATGTAAAGGGAAGCAATGGATTATTTATACTTCCTAGGATACAAATTATCCTGGATTAAGTATGTAAAGGGAAGCAATGGATTATTTATACTTCCTAGGATACAAATTATCCTGGATTAAGTATGTAAAGGGAAGCAATGGATTCTTTATACTTCCTCAGGTACCAATTACCCTGGATTAAGTATGTAAAGGGAAGCAATTAATTCTTTATACTTCCTAGGATACAAATTATCCTGGATTAAGTATGTAAAGGGAAGCAATGGATTATTTATACTTCCTAGGGTACCAATTATCCTGGATTAAGTATGTAAAGGGAAGCAATGGATTCTTTATACTTCCTAGGATACCAATTATCCTGTATTAAGTATGTAAAGGGAAGCAATGGATTCTTTATACTTCCTAGGGTACCAATTATCCTGGATTAAGTATGTAAAGGGAAGCAATGAATTCTTTATACTTCCTAGGGTACCGATTATCCTGGATTAAGTATGTAAAAGGAAGCAATGAATTCTTTATACTTCCTAGGGTACCAATTATCCTGGATTAAGTATGTGAAGGGAAGCAATGGATAATCTTTATACTTCCTAGGGTACCAATTATCCTGGATTAAGTATGTAAAAGGAAGCAATGAATTCTTTATACTTCCTAGGGTACCAATTACCCTGATTAAGTATGTAAAGGGAAGCAATGGATTCTTTATACTTCCTAGGGTACCAATTACCCTGGATTAAGTACGTAAAGGGAAGCAATGAATTCTTTATACTTCCTAGGGTACTAATTATCCTGGATTAAGTACGTAAAAGGAAGCAATGGATTCTTTATACTTCCTAGGGTACCAATTACCCTGGATTAAGTATGTAAAGGGAAGCAATGGATTCTTTATACTTCCTAGGGTACCAATTATCCTGGATTAAGTATGTTAAAGGAAGCAATGGATTCTTTATACTTCCTAGTGTACCAATTACCCTGGATTAAGTATGTAAAGGGAAGCAATGGATTCTTTATACTTCCTAGGGTACCAATTATCCTGGATTAAGTATGTAAAAGGAAGCAATGAATTCTTTATACTTCCTAGGGTACCAATTACCCTGATTAAGTATGTAAAGGGAAGCAATGAATTCTTTATACTTCCTAGGGTACCAATTATCCTGGATTAAGTATGTAAAGGGACGCAATGGATTCTTTATACTTCCTAGGGTACCAATTATCCTGGATTAAGTATTTAAAGGGAAGCAATGGATTCTTTATACTTCCTAAGGTACCAATTATCCTGGATTAAGTATGTAAAAGGAAGCAATGGATTCTTTATTCTTCCTAGGGTACCAGTTATCCTGGATTAAGTACATAAAAGGAAGCAATGAATTCTTTATACTTCCTAGGGTACCAATTATCCTGGATTAAGTATGTAAAAGGAAGCAATGAATTCTTTATACTTCCTAGGGTACCAGTTATCCTGGATTAAGTACGTAAAAGGAAGCAATGGATTCTTTATACTTCCTAGGGTACCAATTATCCTGGATTAAGTATGTAAAGGGAAGCAATGGATTCTTTATACTTCCTAGGGTACCAATTACCCTGATTAAGTATGTAAAAGGAAGCAATGAATTCTTTATACTTCCTAGGGTACCAGTTATCCTGGATTAAGTACGTAAAAGGAAGCAATGGATTCTTTATACTTCCTAGGGTACCAATTATCCTGGATTAAGTATGTAAAGGGAAGCAATGGATTCTTTATACTTCCTAGGTTACCAATTACCCTGATTAAGTATGTAAAAGGAAGCAATGGATTCTTTATACTTCCTAGGGTACCAATTATCCTGGATTAAGTATGTAAAGGGAAGCAATGGATTCTTTATACTTCCTAGGGTACCAATTACCCTGATTAAGTATGTAAAGGGAAGCAATGGATTCTTTATACTTCCTAGGGTAACAATTATCCTGGATTAAGTATGTAAAGGGAAGCAAAGGATTCTTTATACTTCCTAGGGTACCAATTATCCTGGACTAAGTATGTAAAGGGAAGCAATGAATTCAAGTATTCAACAAAATAAAAATCTTTAATAGGCTAATATGCAAAAGATGTTAACCACGATATATGAAGCTTCCATGAAAACACAATTTTTCCACAAACCATGAAATTGGTACCCACAAAAATATACTTATCCACAGTAGTTCATTTTTTATACCAAAAAAATTAATCATGATGAAAAATTGAATTCCTGCTCAAACGTTTAAGCAGTTTGATATATTTTATAAATATCATAACTATGGTCTTACCAATGCTAATGTAGGCTCATCCTATTACAAATGCCATTCATTTTAGAGATTGTTGAGACTTTAACCCTGTATAATTATCAGTTGTTGCCTTTTGCATTTTCCTTAATCTGTTGGGAATCATTATTGTCATTTTCGTAACTCTTTTGCAATGGAAAATTGATTAGCTTTCTAAAAATTAGTTGATCGCAGCTAATCTAAACTTCTACACAAACACATCAACTAAAAATTCTGTCAATCACCTTTTTATCAAAACAGACAATTATCACAGATTTCATCTAAAGTTTAGAGTGGAAATATCTGTATTTTGTATGTTTTAAATACATTGACCATTATGGAATATTTCACATTGTAGCAATGATACTATCAAGATAAAAATTCATTTGTTCAAATGCTCATTATTCTTATAATTGGACAGAGAAGAATAAATATGTCCTTTGACAATAGGAAGTGACATATATCATTATTACAGGCCTGCTAAGAATCAATAACAGTCTACTGTCATCAAATTATATTCCTTACTGTAAAGTTTTATATATTCACACATGACAACTTCAAATTAGTCCTTCAAACTACCAATCCAGACATTTTTTGGAGTCATTAACATCGCCAACATGATATGATTCACTTACTTTCTATTTTATTAACATATGATGGATATATACCAATATAGAGATTATAGTTTTCAAGAATACAATTTTTTATATCTTTTTATCTATCTTATACTAAATTGAAAATTCTATAAGAACATTTTCATTCCCAGTTTAAGTACATTCCCTTAGAACTAGCATAGTAGCATAAGATATACTTTTCTTGTACATTGTTTTACATACAAAAAATAATACAACAGAAAATATCTGAGAAATGGAAATAATCTGTTAAATACCCAAATTAAACAGTTAAATTGCATTTTTATTTAAGATTTTTTTCTTCAGTGACATCATCTCAGTAAAGGGAGTACAGAAAATATAAATTAGGGAACATCTCCTGACAGTTCATGTATTTACCTTCTCTGAATATATTTCTGTATCATAGGACTGCCTAACTTATGACATTCTTCACAAACAATATCAACAGCAGCAGCTCTTGCCTAACAAAAGACAAATATTATAAAAAAATCTTTTTATCATATAGCAGTTTATAATAATTTGATACATGTATTGATAACAAATGTTCTGTGATATTATAGGATGCTTTACAATGAACATTAAATTGGTCCTTGAAATAGCATATTGTTTAATTTTTGAATCCTTTAAAATCATGTTATATCCTTAATAATTAAATGAATGAGATGATGAAATCTGCCCAATCTAATGCACAAACAGAATTTTATTGTCACTGCCTTATTCAAACAAATATTTGACAGATATTTGACTCACATAATCATCTTTTTTTTGTACAAGACATCTTTTGATAAAATATCATTTAGTGTAATGATGTTTGTCATATCCAAATATTAGCTTAAAACCTCAAAAGGAGGCAGTTTTGACCTTTTTTCAATTCTTATTCAATGCAAAAGAGTTAGAACATGTAAGGGCTATTCCATTAAAATGTATGTGGGAGGGTAGGAAGGGAAGTTTAATTATTGAATGTGGGTCATGGGTCTTTTTTCAGTATGCATCTATTATCATTATGCAAAATTATCTAAAAAAGGTTCTTGGTAGGAGAGATATTTTGAAAGTCCCTTCCTACCCACCCACATACATTTTAAAGGAATAGCCCTAAGAGAAAGTTTCAAATAAATAATTTCTGAAATCGTAAAGACTAATTTGTGAAAATCAGAAGACTATTATTTGAAAGATTATAAAACTTGGTAATTTTTTTATTTTAAAGGGAAAATTCACGATTTTTTACTTATCATCTTATTATGTTCATAATACCATAAAAAACATATTCACCAAGTTTTATCTGGATATGAACACTAATAAAGAAGAAAATTAGGAATTATTAATTTTATTTATTCGAACTTCCTGACTTCTGTGACGTAGTTTAAGTCTAATTGCATGCCGGGAGTGGATTTAATCTCATGTTAAGTCTTGTTCCTTAATCATCTAATAATGCGATTTAAAGCGCATGGACGACTATTTTGCGTATCTATTAACCAACTAATAATTAAGTGAGTAAAGTGATCAGCCGTGCAACTTTTTAAATCAAAATGTACGATTTACATTTTAGGGATTTCTGATGTGATTATTGTACTAAAAGTAAATCATACAATAAAATATTTTTATGAATTTTTTTTCCAACGGATATGTTGAACAAACATTTATAACTGATAGTGTAATAAAAATGCATGTTTGTATTCTCACCTTTTACTTCAGTCAAGGATTTGTCTTACTATGCAAATCCTTGCTTCAGTCTAGCAAACATTTCCCGCAAGTACTGTGTAAATACAATGTGTATTATACTGACACTACCTGGTAAAGGTGTGGTTAAATTCACGATAATTAAAAGATTAGCATTATGTAATTTTAATCTTTTGATCTTCACTAGAGTGTTGTTTGGCCTCAAGGGTTCACCTTTTCAGGTGTGAAAAACATAAAAAAAAATGATAAAAGAGAAGTGTGCGGGTTTTGAGATAGAAAAAAAAAATATTTGGGGAGGAATATGGTGGCAAAATACCTGAATCACCGTTATATATTTTTTTAATATTTTGCGTTAGCTCAGTTTATTAAATAAATAGGTGAGTATTTTGTTGTAACATCGAAATTCTGATTTACTTTCAATTAAATAATTCTATAAATAATAAAATGCTCCACAGGGCGCAGCTTGATACGACCGCAGAGGTCGCACCCTGAACAGTTGGGGCAAGTATGGACACAACATTCAAGCTTGATACAGCTCTGAATTTGGATTGTGATTAAATATTTGACACAGCATAGGTTTCTGACACAGAATGAATTTGGTCTAAGAACTTAAAAATTTTAAATTGGACATTCACCTATTATGGTCCAATATCCAAAATCTAAATACATGGTTAGATTCAGCATATCAAAGAACCCCAAGAATTCAATTTTTGATGAAATCAAACAAAGTTTAATTTTGGACCCTTTTGATCTCAATGTGGACAAAAATGTTAACAGGGCCCAAAAATCAAAAATCTAAATACATGGTTAGATTCAGCATATCAAAGAACCCCATATATTCAATTTTTGTTGAAATCAAGCAAAGTTTAATTTTGGACCCCGATTTGGACCAACTTGAAAACTGGGCCCATAATCAAAAATCTAAATACATGTTTAGATTCAGCATATCAAAGAACCCTAAAAATTCAATTTTTGTTAAAATCAAACTAAGTTTAATTTTGGACCCTTTGGACCTTTATGTAGACCAATTTGAAAACGGAACCAAAAATTAAGAATCTAAATACACGGTTAGATTCGGCATATCAAAGAACCCCATATATTCAATTTTTGATGAAATCAAACAAAGTTAAATTTTGGACCCTTTGGACTTCAATGTGGACCAATTTAAAAACGGGGCCCAAAATCCAAAAACTTAATACACGGTTAGATTCAGCATATTACAGAACCCCATATATTCAATTTTTGTTGAAATCAAACAAAGTTTAATTTTGGACCCCGATTTGGACCAACTTGAAAACTGGGCCCATAATCAAAAATCTAAATACATGGTTAGATTCAGCATATCAAAGAACCCCATATATTCAATTTTTGTTGAAATCAAACTAAGTTTAATTTTGGACCCTTTGGACCTTTATGTAGACCAATTTGAAAACAGAACCAAAAATTAAGAATCTAAATACACGGTTAGATTCGGCATATCAAAGAACCCCAATAATTCAATTTTTGATGAAATCAAACAAAGTTAAATTTTGGACCCTTTGGACCTCAATGTGGACCAATTTAAAAACGGGGCCCAAAATCCAAAAACTTAATACACAGTTAGATTCAGCATATTAAAGAACCCCAAGAATTCAAGAATAAAACCCCATTGAAATTGATCAAGAAATAAGCAATTTATACGGAGTATCTTCTTTTGCACAATACTGTGCAATTGATTATTTCTTGCTATTGCGCAATACTGTACAATTGACAATTTCTTGCTATTGTGCAATATTGTGCTATTGGATATTTCTTGCTATTGCGCAATACTGTGCAATTGAAGATTTCTTGCTATTGCGCAATACTGTGCAATTGAAGATTTCTTGCTATTGTGCAATACTGTGCAATTGAAAATTTCTTGCTATTGCACAATACTTATTATATAATAATTTACACATCCTGTTTGGTGTGTATCTCCTACCATATCATTATTATTTGCTTTTAAATATAAATCAGAAATAACCAACTTAAAATTTTAAATTTTAAAAGAAAAAAAAAGGAAAAAAAAGAAAAAAAAAAAGAAAAAAAAAAATCCCCCCCCCCCCAAATTTTTTGAACCCCCTTATGATTCATCACCCCCAAACTCAATCTCAGCCTTCCCTTTGTGGTATGGTACCTTGCAGTACAATTTCAGAGAGATCCATACACTTGAACACAAGTTATTGTCTGGAAACTAGAAAAATGCTTATTTTTGGCCCCTTTTTGGCCCCCAATTCCTAAACGTTTCGGGCAATTACCCCCAAACTCAATTCCAGCTTTCCCTTTGTGATATGGAACCTTGTAGTACAATTTCAGAAATATCCAAACACTTACACACAAGTTATTGTCATGAAACTAGAAAAATGCTTGTTTTTTGCCCCTTTTTTGGCCCCTAATTCCTAACATTTTGAGGCAATTACCCCCAAAATCAATTACAGCCTTCCCTTTGTGATATGGAACCTTGTGGTACAATGTCAGAGAGATCCATACACTTACACACAAGTTATTGTCTGGAAGTTACAAAAATGCTTATTTTTGGCCCCTAATTCCTTAACTGTTGGTACCATAACCCCCAAAATCAATCCCAACCTTCCTTTCGTGGTATTGAACCTTATGGTAAAATTTCATGGAGATCCATTCACTTAAACTAAAGTTAGAGTGCGAAAACCAATGTGTCTTCGGACGACATCGACGACGACGACGACGCCAACGTCATACCAATATACGACCAAAAAATTTTTAATTTTTGCGGTAGTATAAAAATGGCCAACGAAAACGAGCTTTTAAACCAAAAACTGTACTATTTTAAATTATCATCGGTAACCTTGAATATTTAAATGTGCAGAGAAAATTATATCAGTTACATTAATATAGTTTGGTCCGTCCAAAGCGATTTACATTTACCTTATCGGGAATGCCCTTATTAAAATATTTTAAATCTGACAACGTATAAATACTTTAGCTATTTGGCCAACGATGTTTAAAAAAAATTAACAGAATCAATCTAACGTCAACATTCCTTTTCTGAATGGAGACAGACCGGCGGAATAAATTTTCAATGTGCTTTATATCTTGTACCTTTGCAAGACTTATCATTCATTCATAAACCCACTCTAAATCAGAGACATATATACACATATATATGTCTGTCTAAAATGACAAGAATACTCCTAAAGCGGACAAGCAGTATATTCTTTAAATTTCTGTGATTTAATACCAAGAAAGAAAAAAATCCCGAAATTAATTTGATACTCAATATTTTTCCTGGAAAATATTCACATACTCATTTGATCTGAAAATAAGATAAGAATTTGGTATACAGAACATGCAGAAGTGTGAATGTCATAACACCTTGTTATATCAGAAACCATTATAAATGTGAACTTGTATACGTAAGACCTCATGGGACGTCACCTAACCACATACAGGTAATATACAAGTAGCTCTGTTATACCTTAATCACTACCGATACAGAATGTACCAATGCAAAGAAAATTCTGATGTTTGTGAAGCATGACCATTCATGATATTAGAGGAGTCATAGGTGGGGGATGTCTGGAACGATTTAAATTCTGACTAGATTTTTTCTCTCAATTCAAATAACTGAACTAAAAAAAAAAAGAAAACTACGTCCAAGAACAGAATTCTTCTTGTAAATTCATAAATACAATGTTCTTATTTTGTAACTTTCGATAGATTTTTGATTTGAACTTTGACTTTTTAACTAATTCCTATTTAAAATTTCTTGTTTTAAAAACGACAGACCATAGTTATTTAAAAAAAATAATTACATTTTCCGTATCAAGTTAGTTAGGAAAGGTTGCAAAACCATGTCCATTATAATCATTTTTGTGACCCGGTTAACTGTTTATGCTTTCCTTGTCAAATAAAACAACCGTACGTTTGACAAGATATCGACACTCAATTACGACTACGTTAGGTTACTGCTGGTTTTGGTCCTTTGTGGTTTATAGATATCAAGTGGTTTCGTAAACCGGGAAGATGACAAAATGGCCGCATGCAGAGAATTGATACTCTCAATTTAAAATCGATGGTGATCTCTTATCTAGCAGAATAAAACTTTAATATTTATGAATTTGTGCTTTTTTATACATAATGAACATAATATCAATTTTTCACTTTTTTGCGAAGTTTCCCTTTAAAAGGTGTCAAAAAGGGGGCCTTACCATACCTTCTCTTTTGTATTACAACCATCTTTTAACAGTGAAATTATCAGAAAGTTGTTCTAGTATTGATGGATGAGAAGATTTCCTCAGCTAATATGTTGATTTATTAGGGTGACTACAGGCCTATTACTCTAATAAATCAACAGGTTGGTATAAAATTTAGACATGTACAAAAACTAATAATGTATGGTAAACTAAAGGTTCCGAAAAGCCTGCATCACAAACTTGACATCTATGCACAATACTGACAAATGTAAAGGGAAGCATAATAAAATCAATTTCTTGATAATAAGAAGGCTGAGTTATTTATTGCCTATATCTAAAGTTTTATAGTCATAATATTATAAATTATAATTTTCAGCTAAATGGAAATATATAAATAATATGTAAAACAAGAATTGGTTCATTAAAATGTCTCAACTCTAAAATATTTTAATTATCTTATTATACTGGCTGTATAATAATGTACTTACTAAATGTGAACTAAGAGTTTTAACATAAACTTGTATTGCCTGTATATCTGTGTACTTACTAAATGTGAACTAAGAGTTTGAACATAAACTTATATTGCTTGTATATCTGTGTACTTACTAAATGTGAACTGAGAGTTTGAACATAAAACTTATATTGCCTGTATATCTGTGTACTTACTAAATGTGAACTAAGAGTTTTAACATAAACTTATATTGCCTGTATATCTGTGTACTTACTAAATGTGAACTAAAGAGTTTTAACATAAACTTATATTGCCTGCATATCTGTGTACTTACTAAATGTGAACTAAGAGTTTTAACATAAACTTATATTGCCTGTATATCTGTGTACTTACTAAATGTGAACTAAGAGTTTTAACATAAACTTGTATTGCCTGTATATCTGTGTACTTACTAAATGTGAACTAAGAGTTTTAACATAAACTTATTTTGCCTGTATATCTGTGTACTTACTAAATGTGAACTAAGAGTTTGAACATAAACTTGTATTGCTTGTATATCTGTGTACTTACTAAATGTGAACTAAGAGTTTTAACATAAACTTGTATTGCCTGTATATCTGTGTACTTACTAAATGTGAACTGAGAGTTTGAACATAAACTTATATTGCCTGTATATCTGCATACTTACTAAATGTGAACTGAGAGTTTGAACATAAACTTGTATTGCCTGTATATCTGTGTACTTACTAAATGTGAACTGAGAGTTTGAACATAAACTTGTATTGCCTGTATATCTGTGTACTTACTAAATGTGAACTGAGAGTTTTAACATAAACTTATATTGCCTGTATATCTGTGTACTTACTAAATCTGAACTAAGAGTTTTAACATAAACTTATATTGCCTGTATATCTGTGTACTTACTAAATGTGAACTAAGAGTTTAACATAAACTTGTATTGCCTGTATATCTGTGTACTTACTAAATGTGAACTAAGAGTTTTAACATAAACTTGTATTGCCTGTATCACAGCATCAATCATAATTCCATAGACTTGAACTAACATCCTGGAAATAAAATATTATTGTTTTGTAACCAGCAATAATCTAAGTTATGGCCCGAGAACACAGTTATTTCGTAGTGCATTTCTTTTAGACAATAAATGAAAATTCAAAATAACACACCTGCGCTTTCTCAACAATATTTTTACAGTGTGATGTACTACTTTTGGGACAAATTATGTCAAAATTATAACTTCATTAGCTCTAACTCAAAATATATATATATATATATGTCTTGAAGTCTTTTGACATCTTCCGAAATACTAATTCTTTACCTTTTTCAGCTACACCAAATCACCACTTTACTTTAAAATTCATGACCGTGCAATTTGAGGCATAAAACATGAAGAAACAAGCATTCTGGAGTATTGAATGGCAATACATAGTCCTCTACCGGTTAAAAATTCATTGTACTGGAACAAAATGCTAACTTGATCTATTACTTGTCATGGTGTAATCTATATAACAAATATCAAGTCAATATCTTCAAGCATGACGAAAAAAAGTGATGAAAACTGGACCATAACTCTGTACAAAATCATCAGACCAGAACAAAATTCGAACTTGATCTGTAACTTGTCATGTTTGAAGACTATATACCAATTATCAAATCAATATCTTCAAACATGACAAAAAAAAGTGAGGAAAACTGATTATTTGAATTAATTTTCTAAGTCCAAGGACCATTACTCTGCACAAAATTAAAGAACCTTAGTGAGCGCGCTCACATACCCCACGTCCCCACATTGTCACTGGAGAAATAAAATAACTGTAAGAAAAAAAAATTGTATAAGAAAAAAAAAATTGAATCATAATTTCCTGTCGATATGCACATCTACATAGTATGTCCTTATTATCTACAAAGTTTCATGAAATTCTGTTGTGTGGTTTCAGAGGAGTTGCGATGACAAACTGTTGCAGAGGTATATTGAAGCAAATAAGTTCAAAGGGGCGTAACTCCTAGAAAAAAAATTGAATCATAATTTCCTGTCGATATGCACATCTACCTAGTATGTCCTTATTATCTACAAAGTTTCATGAAATTCTATTGTGTGGTTTCAGAGGAGTTATGATGACAAACTGTTGCAGAGGTATATTGAAGCAAATATGTTCAAAGGGGCGTAACTCCTAGAAAAAAAATTGAATCGTAATTTCCTGTGGATATGCACATCTACGTAGTATGTCCTTATTATCTAAAAAGGTTTCGTGAAATTCTGTTGTGTGGTTGAGAGGAGTTGCGATGACAAGAAACAGGACTGACGGACTGACGGACGGACAGACAGACAGACAGACGGACGGACGGGTCAAAAACATTATACCCTCCGCAACTCGTTGCGTGGGGTATAATTATTAGACCGGAACAAAATTCGAACTTGATCTGTAACTGAATTGTCATGATAAAACTATATATTAATCATCAAATCAATATCTTCAAGCATGACAAAAAAAGTGCGGAAAACTGATTATTTGAGTGAATTTTCTAAGTTCAAGGACCATAACTCTACACAAAATTGTCAGACCGGAAAAAATTCGACTTGATCTGTAACTTGTCATGATAAAAAAATACACCAAATATCAAATCAATATCTTCAAGCACAAAGAAAAAAAGTGTGGAAAACTGATTTGCCGGACTGAAGGATGGACGGACGGACAGACAGACAGACAGAGTGCAAACCTAAAGTCCCCTTCGACTTTGTCGGTAGGGGCCTAATAAATTTGGAAGGGGTATGAAAAAAAATTGCAAGTGATACACTGTCCCCACTAGGGACTATATTTGAAATGAACGAAAATTAAAGGATGATAACTGTGTTCCCGGACCAAAATATAGTCTCAGATTTTACATAATATGATATGACTTACTTAAAATATCTAAAATTACCTATATTGTGTTTTCTCTTCCATTTTCTGTTATCCTTAGCCTTATATAGTTGTTTCATACTGTACGTGTATGGTCCATTCATGAACAGATAAGAGAGTCTTATATGATTTGCATGCCTAAAAATACTTGAATGTAATTGGTCTGCTAGAATTTTTTTTCCTTGGTTGACACTTCAATTCACCATGTTGCCGATACTACTGTGTAACCTAGGTTACTGACTCACAAACTTTACATTTAGTTAACGGGCCCAGTTTACACATCATTATCCTCAAAAAAATGTGTTTAACTCTGTATCATTTTAAAGAAATTTTTGGAAGAATGTTGAAATTAAGAAGAAAGATTAAAGAAAATTGCCCATTTTGATATTGGTAGGGACTTATCTTGCTATTTTTTGTATTTTTTTGTGGTTTGTCATTTGTCTTTTTGTTTCAATATTAGCCATGGTTCTTTTTTCTTTGTCCTATGTTTTATTTATTGCTACATTGATATCATTCCTCTATTTTGCTAAAAAGTTCACAGGAAAATCTAACCAAAAAACAATGTCAACTTAAGAAAGCTGTTTCAGTCAATTATCTAAGGAATCTTGCAAACATGAACATGGTTTAAATTAAATCAATACTGAACTGACCATTTGCAAGAAAAATTGGTTAACACTTGTGTAAATTTGGGTGTAATTGGATTTGATACAGGCATGTGTCAAAACTCATTTGAGCATTTATGGTTATCCTATTTATCAGGTTAACTGTAAGAAGACATTAGAATTATGCATATGCACATCAACTGTTATTAACCTTAATATACTGATTGATAGATCCCAGACTTTTGTCACAACTAAAGTAATCTATAACACGGCAAATTATATCAGACATGCAAGCCACTTATTCATTCCTTTTTGGAAAATCCCTGTAAGAGCATGACTTAAAAAATCAAAGCGTGAAAGCGCTGTAAAGGCAGTTAATTACAGGTTGTGTGTATTTTTAGTCCAGTTATATCATTATCTTGCATAGTACAGTGTACTTATCAGAGGTGGCTTTCAGTATTTAAGATTTAGAGTTCTCTAATGATATTGAACAAGTTATATGAATGTCATATTCTGAGCACTATATGAAGGTGATTGTTCTCGCTTGTTTATGAACTAGTGCATTATGTCCAGTTTGTACCTTTTTTTATCTATGTTTATAGTCAAATTAGTTATCAAAGGTACCAGGATTATAATTTAATACGCCAGACGCGCGTTTCGTCTACATAAGACTCATCAGTGACGCTCAGATCAAAATAGTTATAAAGCCAAACAAGTACAAAGTTGAAGAGCATTGAAGACCCAAAATTCCAAAAAGTTGTGCCAAATACGGCTAAGGTAATCTATTCCTTGGATAAGAAAATCCTTAGTTTTTCGAAAAATTCAAAGTTTTGTAACAGGAAGTTTATAAAAATGACCATATTATTGATATTCAAATACTGTTTAAAATAGTTAGGCATTTTCTTTTTAGTAATAAGTAAATGTTATCAACTGTATTTTATTCAACTCTGCAAATGTGGTTTGTTACTGTTAAGTATGGATGATAGTTGTTTCATTGGCAATCATAACACATCTCCTCATTTATATAATGATCTATATTCAACGACCTCAGGTACAAAAAAAATGTATGTAACTTAACTATGATGGGAAACCTTTGACTTCTTTTATATAAACTTTTGATTTGGTACCATAGAACTATGTAGAACAAATGTACATTGCAACATGTCAACTCTTTCAATGACAATACTTTTTTAAGAAACTATAACTCCAAGCAAAATTATATTTCCAAGTTTGAAGTAATTTATGAATGAAAAAAGAAGTTCTTAATTAAGAAATAAACTGATTCGCTGAGCACAGCTGGATACACCCCGCAGAGGTCCAACCCTGAACAGTTGGGGCAAAAATGGACACAATATTCAAGCTTGATACAGGTCTGAATTTGGATTGTAATTAAATATTTGACATATTATAGTTTCTGAATAAATGTAGTCAAAGAACTTGAAATCGGTTATATGAATTGAATTTATATTCAATTAAAGATTTCTTGCTGTTGTGCAATACACTGTGCTGTTGCGCAATACTTAATAAATCTGTTGCCAGACTATAAACAAATAAAGTTCAATTTCTTCTCAATGTCATATTTGAAATTGATGAAAATCTATAGGGAGATTACATCAATAGCTATAAATAATTCACCAAAGTTTCATGCGAACTGCTTAAAGCATTTTTGAGTTTTTGTCCAACAAGAGTGCACACGCTGAAATGTCTCGCCTTCTTTACTAATCACTGATATTATGTTGATAGTCCTTAATATAAAGCTTTATTACAACTGTCACATAAACTTAACATTAACCAAGGAAACTAAACATTGACCAATGAACCATGAAAATGAGGTCAAGGTCAGATGAACCATGCCAGGCAGGCATGTACAGCCAACAATTCTTCCATACAACAAATATAGTTGACCTATTGCTTATAGTTTAAGAAAAACAGACCAAAACACAAAAACTTAACACTGAGCAATGAACTGTGAAAATGAGGTCAAGGTCAAATAAAACCTGCACGACTGACATATAGATCATAAAATATTTCCATACACCAAATATAGTTGACCTATTGCATATAGTATTAGAAAAAAAGACCAAAACTCAAAATCTTAACTTTGACCACTGAACCATGAAAATGAGGTCAAGGTCAAATGAGACCTGCCAGCTAGACATGTACACCTTACAATCATTCCATACACCAAATATAGTAGACCTATTGCATACAGTATAAGAAAAACAGACCAAAACACAAAAACTTAACTATAACCACTGAACCATGAAAATGAGGTCAAGGTCAGATGACACCTGCCAGTTGGACATGTATGCCTTACAGTCCTTCCATACACCGAATATACTTGACCTATTGCTTATAGTATCTGAGATATGGACTTGACCACCAAAACTTAACCTTGTTCACTGATCCATGAAATGAGGTCGAGGTCAAGTGAAAACTGTCTGACGGGCATGAGGACCTTGCAAGGTACGCACATACCAAATATAGTTATCCTACTACTTATAATAAGAGAGGATTTAACATTACAAAAAATGTTAACTCTTCTTT